TGTTTTGAATTTTACAGATTGCAAATTTTGCCATTGATTGTACTTAATGGGGAAACAGAAATTTGAAATACATCCACCAAAATATTTCGGCAGTGATAGTCTCGGTTCAGTAAATCTAAATGGCAATGCGAATCGAAGTAAAGTTCTTTTAAGTGGGCAAATTTGCAATTTTTGCCTCTGCAGGTTTCAGGTGGTTCTCGTTCATCATCACAATATAAATGGGAGTGGCAAATTCCCTGAACGTAAACTTCCATTTTTGTGATAAGTTCTGAAAAATTAAAAAATAATAATTGCACCTTACTATTAAAGATAATTTATGTTAGTGAAATAGTTAGTGAAGTTCATGTTATCATGGTAAAATTGAGCACTGTGGGATAAATTTGAGTGATTGATTTGTGCGTGGTAAAACAGCTGTGTAATGAGAATGACGGGAAAATCCACACAATGGTATACAGGAATTCACTTGTATTCCTAATTGTGAATCTGGGATATATTTCAAATGTCTGCCAATTATAATTGATTTATTGTCAAACATTACTTTGAATTCACTTGCATTGCACTTTTCATATCTGAAAATGTCGTTTATTTTGAATGTTGAATATATATAAATAGGTTTCTGTAAAATAATGCTCAGAGCATACAAATGGTACTCATTACCCCATGCTTTATTTGTCAAAGCAGTTTTGATAAGGTCGTCAAATTCATCCAGGACTGGTTTTGCAATACTTCTATCTGCAGCGAGCAACTGTTCAAAATGTATTTGGTGTTCCAGTAAAGTGTAAGCTGTTAGCACACGTAGAGTTTTCATTAAGACTTTTTTTATTACAGAGACCTATTGAAATCATTTCCCATAAGCAGTTACCTCTTGCTTGTGTGTGAACGGGTATATATTGAGAGAGGAAAGATCTATGACATTCTTTACTGACATTTTTGTCTTCAATTATCTCGGGAACAGCTACCGCTGTCATATTAATCAATTGTTCAGCAGTATGTTTTAACAGTTGATGATGCTGCAGCATTAAAATGTTCATGTTCTGTAATCCTTGATGTATCAATGGTATTTTCTTAAGTAGTTTAGTTGAATGGTGTGAAAGGATTTGAAGTTTGTATTGGTCTGAGGTTTTTGTTTGTTGCAAGGATTTGTTGCTTGCTGTAGTGATACCAACAGGCGTGATTTTTTGTTCTTGTGAATTAGTATCAGCAGAACACTGTTGTTTTGTGCTCTGGTTATTTGTAGTTGGAATGAGTTGTTTGTGCATTTCAGCATACTGTAACATTTTGCAGACCTGTTCGTTAGTATGGAAAGCTTCTGAAGAAAACTTTATAAGATGTAAACCTTGCAAGGTCTACACACGACTAAGAGCTACATATGCTTGTCCAGCAGCAAAGAAGGAACTGTCAAGAGAAATATATGCATTTTTCAATGTTGCACCTTGCATTCTGTGTACTGTGCATGCATATGCTACAATTATTGGAAACTGGACTCTATAAACTGGAGTATTTATAACGGGTAACAATAGATTTTGTTTAACTTTTGTTACTGGTATGAGTTCATCAGATGCTAATCTTTGAATCATGAGCACTTGTTTGTTTATTGTTTTTAAAATACCCACTGTACCATTCACTATTTGCGACTGAACATTTAGGTTACGTGTGATCATAACTTTGGCTCCTTCTTTGACTGAAATAGTCTGTGGCATTACTGATTTCAGTGAATTTAACTGATGTGATTCAGTTTTGTTTAGCAATTCCCTACCAGCATCATAATCAGTGGTGTGCAAATGGTGTAATGTAGAGGTTGGCAATAATGAATTCTGCAGTTGGTCATTTAAATTCATGCGTTCAACATGTTTTGAGCAAATAGCCATGCTATTTGATGAGGTCATATCTTGACACTCATGATCTAGGTCATGTCCACTTCCGCAAACGCGTGTTTGTAGTAATTCAAGGTCTTCAGTGCTGTGGTTTCCCAAACGAACACGATCTAATAATGATGCATATGTAATATCCTGTGATTGTCTATAATTTTCATTCAGGAAAAATGGATGAAATTTTGACAATAGTTGGCTTTCATAAATTTGCCTTGATTGTGAGGTACTGTTTGTAACTACTGGCAATTGTAAAAGATCTCCAAATAGAATAACTGTTTTTCCTCCAAACAATTGCTTTTCATTTGTCATTGTTGAAGTCTGATTACAAATCTGACTCAATTTTTCTAGAATTTCAGCAGTCATCATGCTGATTTCATCAATAATTATAACATTTGTACAACAAATTGATTCCCAATTGGTATCCCTGTATTGTATAGATGTTTCCAAATTACAATCCAATTTGAAAAAGGAATGCACAGTGCGGCCATTTACCAGTAATGCAGCATTTCCTGATGTTGCCAATACTTCAACAATTGAACAATTAAATTCATACTGTAGAACTAAGGTGTGTAGCAGAAAGGATTTACCACAGCCCCCGGGACCTGTAACAAATGCCAAGAGTTGATTGCCTTCATACGACATTAAGGAATCGAATACTGTTTTTGTGATGCAGTCATTTGATGTTTTCTCATGAGTAAACTCTTCTGATCATTCAAAATCATGTCTTTTGACCAGTGAAGAATGGATAAAACTTCAGATGAATGAAGGTCAGCTTCAGTTTCGTTACATATATAACTGTCATATTCTTTCAGTTGTTGATCTGATAAATTGCTGAAGTCAACATCTTCTCCCAATTCTAACCCTTGAATTTTTTTTTTAAAGTCTTTTCATCTGAAACCTGTTCTATCAACAGTTTTCTTGCCATGCGTCCAATTTGATGAGCATCAAAATTGCGTTCTTTCATTTCTCTGAAAACAATGTCAAGTGCATCATCTGTTTCGAAAAGAGTCTGTATGTAACATTCTTCTTTGTATGATTTTGACATATTGAATTCTGAAATTAAGTCTTCTTCCTTTCTGTATGGAACTTGAGAAAGAAGAGTTTGGAAATAAAAAGATTCACCATCCAAAGGCGTCAGGAAACGGAATCTAGGTATCGATTTTGTGTTTCTTTGAACTATGAACTTTCCCTTTAAATCAAGATGTAGACAATTCAAACGTGACTTAGGTATTTTGGTTTTTGATGTAAAAATTTCAAAATCATATGAAGTTTATTAGATATCTTTAAGTTAGAATAAATAGTAAAACGGCTTGCTATACCTATCATTTATTGATAAATCACCGTATTATTAAATTATTTGTATTCATTGCCAAGTAACACCCTAAAAAAATCAGTCAGATTTTGGTTGCTATGCTCACATCAGTAGTAGAGGTCTTGAAATTAATGAATTTAATAATTGCATTTAAGAATTGAATGCTTCTTTTTATAATTCTATTGGGGTGTAAAACGGTTGACCCAAGCAGAAGCGCTTCATTCTAAAAGTGTGCGCACGATCAACGCTTTTACAACCCTATACAATTATAAAAAGAAGCATTCAATTCGTATAATTACATTTTTATGCCGCAACCGTGAAATTAAGAGTTATTAAAGCAAGCTTTTTGTTTGTTTTTTCTATGCATTATATTAACATCGTCACGGATAGCACATGCAGTCATAGCTGCTGAATTTTATAGGGAAATAAAATATGATCTTGGAGTGACTCGCGATTGTTGTCAGCAAATCAAAATTACGGACTTTTATGAAACATACACCTTGTTTTATTAATTTTGTAGCTTGCTGTTCGGTGTGAGCCAAGGCTCCGTGTTAAAGGCCGTACTTTGACCTATGGTCGTTTACTTTTGCAAATTGTGACTTGGATGGAGAGTTGTCTCATTGGCACTCAGACCACATCTTATATCTATGTAATGTAATTATTGATACGTAAAGAATTTCAGAATATCAAATTGTGCAAAATATTTACAAAATAGCATTGCAGCTATATATTCGAGGTGTAGTTCCATTGTAATATCAAATAAATTCACTTTCGGCTTAAAATGGCAATTAATGCCCAGTTCTCAGCATACATGTGGATATTTTTTCTTCTTCCACGAATCTACTATAGATATTTGGATATAGAATGCGCTTTTCTTGTTTGCAATTTTATGATGTTGTATGAAACCTACTCAGATGTACCAATATGAGTTTATCGACTACATACATTTTGTATAAAGATTTTTCATAGTGCGTTTAGTAACGGATTCTTCAATGCAATATCCACAAATAGCATAGTTTTAAGTTACAATATATTATAGTTAAGCGAAGAAAGACAAGAAGAAGAAACATCATTAATCAATATCATATATATATAGTCAAACTTTCGTCTATATTTCAGTACAGTAATTTCAGTCTTCCTTTTAAACAACTTCCCATTCTGTAGTAAAACAAACATGCCCTTGACTACGGCGTTAATGTTTCTTTGTCTGGAAATATCAGGCCGTGTTCTCATTATGAGGATTTTATTACTAGAGCAGTCCTCTTTATAGAAAAAACTAACCAAACATGATTATAGATTAAGAGGAAAGAATAAAAATTGACTGTATTCGTTCCACGGATATCATCATGGATTGTTAAGGTGTCTTAGAATCTAAAATTAGAATCTAGTCCGAGATTACTATGATGTCTAAGGGCCTTTTTTATAACTTGCTTGGGCCGGCAGAGAAATTTCTGACTACAAACTAGAGGCATGTTTACTCTGTCCTACTTCTCACTTTTCCAATATATCGTCTATTTTGAAATATAACTGGTTTTGTCACGTGCCTGCATGGTGATATTACAACTAATTGTGACTATGAAATCGCACTACGAGGGATGCGTGTGAAAAGACAGTGCTTTCCCTTTTGCCATGATACACCTGTTAGTCTTAAACGTAGAAGATCGTTCGGTTTCTACTGTTTCCACCCCCATACTTTCCTGTTTGTCCCTTAATTTTAGATTTTTTTTAACTAAATTCGGTATAATTTCATATTATAACAATTTATAACAAATCAAGTTAAGGATCAAAAGGCGTTACAGAGATATATCAAAGAAAGATTTAGTTAATTGTAATGTATGATATGTCACAAAACAAAAATAAAAATGAGCTTCGACTTCTAGTGGTCTTTTTTGACTACCAAATAAATGTTGATTCAGATTTGTGAGGTACGTTCAATTGATCTAACATATGCCCAGCTTTTCGTTTCTCTAATGCAACATTTGACAATCTTTCCTTTCCAAGTCTCTTCTGTTCTGCCATAAATAACATTGCCTCCTCTTTGTCTGTTATATACTCATCATATTCGTGTAGACCATGAATGACAGCAAACATCATAGGATATTTGGTGCCACATGCACCATTAAAATCGTCCATATCTATAGTCCATACAAATACACCTCCTAGATTATTACTCCTCGCTAACTCAGCCTGCAAATACATATAACTTAATCATGTGATTTAGTATAAAAGCTGGAACCACATACTTAGAAACAAACTGCATCAGTAAGAGTAACCTTCGTCTCCATTTGTTCACTTTTTATACTGTATGCTGACTAAGGAGCAGGCCAACTTTTAACACAAACTTGTACATAAAAACCCTGAAATTTCTCTCAATTTTATGGCATCAAATGTCAAGTCAGTAGTTTTTCTTTATGTTTTCATGTTTTCTTTGTTAGATCTTTTACACGTCTTTATTTATTTTGGTTGTTCTACGATTTTTAAGGGTTTGGGTTTTTTCTCTCGTAGTTGCTTTTCAAAACTTTTTTTTTATAATTATTATTCTATCATGAAAACAACCACTGTACATGAAATTCATTGGAAAATGAAAGAAAAAGAAAATAGGCTTTTTTGTTATGCACAACAAATATATCATTAAGTCTAAAAATTAATGTACTTATTTGATGAGTATGATTCATGAACAAACATAGCATGCAACTTAATTATTTTCAGTTTCTCTCGACTTCTTTGAGTTTTGAATCCCACTCCCCTGGTATCGTCTGTCTCTTTTTAACGTACTCGGTGATACATGAAACATGTGTTATATACGCAAGGAAATCTTATCATTTTGGCATTTTTGTCCTGAATAAAGCAACCCCAATGTGATTTAATTAGAAATATTACCTTTTCTTGAACACTGATTGGATTATCATGACTTATCCATTCATCTTCATGAACTATGAATGGTACACGTCCATACATTTGTTCTGACAATCCACCGTTTTTTATAAGATGACAAAGCTAATAAGAATAGAAAAATTCTATTAATGGCATATACTAGTATATGAAAATAAGAAGATGTGGTATGATTGCTAATGAGAATAATTTCCACCAGAGTCCTAATGACGTGGATGTATATAAGCAACTATAGCTAGAACTATCGGTTCACTGAAAAATGTCGCTTAAGAAAACAAAGTAAGTATATGTGTATCAAAGACAATTTTTTTTTACAAAAATAACCCCAAAAAATAAGATTTCCGAAAATACAATTTGAAATAAAATAGTATTTTTTATCAAACATTAGAAGCTCGATGAACGGTGATTAAAGTTTCTTATTATATACTTAGTAGTAAATACAGATAAATTGTATGTGTAATACAATCATTGGCAAGCGTGCTGTATCAGCCACCCGTGATGATATCGATATCAGCACGGTTGCAAAGGCTTTATCACACCTTTAATCTGTATGACGTCACGTCATCGATTGCAGTCACTGTTGCAATTGCAATAGCTTTATCAACAGCTGCAAACCCCTAATCTTTTGACGTCATGTCAAACCTATAATCTGTATGACGTCATTTCAAACCTCCTTACCTGTATGACTTCAGGTCACATAAAAACATCTACGTGAGGTATTTGTATATAATAAAGTGTATATGATATGGCTTTTTCAATATCACACACCGTATCAACCCTCAACCAATATAATCCCTCGAGCAGAGCTCTTGGGATTATATTGGTGTCTCGGGTTGATACGGATGTGATATTGAAAAAGCCATATGATATTTTCTATATATTTACGTTTTTAACTGGATATCCATCTCCATTGTCGGAACCAGGACCGATAGCTAATGATCCCGGAGCAGACATGTTGCTGTTCTGTAATCTGAAAGATCTTCCAAAAAATGGTATTCCAAGAATGATTTTATGCTTTGGTACACCCTGTGCTATCCAGGTGTTTATCAAAGAATTCTGAAACGTTATAATTAAACCATTAGAATGATTAATCGGTTGTAACAAATATAATATTTATTACAAAACTATTTTTATATGCTTTCAATGTTACTTTTGAATGTAACATATATACGGATTGAAGGGCGGAGGCTTAAAGCCTTTGGACTGCCAATGCAAAATAATTTATGTTCCCATTCCGATCGGACGTGCCTGAGTATTTATACATCCTGCACAGCCAAACGGACGACCCTCTTTAGCATGTGTTTTACAGCTGGGTAGGAAAAGGCCACTGAGGACTATATTCCTATACCCCATGCAGTCAATCCTTAGGGCAGATTGTTTAGAATTAAATGTTTATTTTGAAATAAAATATATAATTTATTTAAGTGTGTGGAGTTTGTTGTTTATGTTTTTCACTTCAACTCGAAATTATGTTAATGGCGAATATTATTACAGTAACTATGCATTTTAAAATTTATTCCTGCAACAACAACAAAAAACTAAGTTCATTAAAGAAATAGAACAAAACCAAAATATCTTTATCTTCAACATTAACATTAACGGTACCAATTTTACGGCACCAGATGCGCATTTCGACAATAAATGTCTCTTCGGTGATGCTCGAGGCCGAACTATTTGAAAATTAAAACCTCATATAAACATTGAAGAGCTAAATAATCACAAAAAGGATCAAAATAATATCCAAATTCAGACAATGAATCAAAGCTTTACATGAGGGAGATATATTCTTTAATTTGAAATGATTCCTAAAATTATATAACAGCAAATTTCAATCAAACAATATCCGTCTCTTAATGTCGATACCGAAGTAATAACAAATGTATAAACTTACTACGTTTTTCACACCATTTTCTCCTGTCAGTGCACTGTGTGGGTATACTATCATGGGATCGTCCCAATGTCCATAGAAGTCATACAGTTTCAGATTTATGAAATCAACAACTCTACAAGTAGAGAATGGAAATTATCGAGAGGAAGAATAAAATGAAGCTGTTGTCTTCATTTGATTTTCAATTATTATTCTCTTGTCTTACTAACGCAAAATTCACAAACCATCGATTCTCTTTCCCTAAAACTCGATTGAACCCCATGGTTTGAATCCAAAACACTTTGTTTCGGGACAAAATATAGAAATCAACTGTCAAGATGAAGAATAGGAATAAAAGCCCTGTTCATTGATAATTTTCTATGTTTTCTATGTATTGTGTGCGATTTTGTCCCATGTACATTTACTCCATATCCTTTAATTTTATAGTCGGACATTGAAAATAAATTGCACAAAATACAACACTGAACACTAATTGTCGTAAACAGTTTTCGTCTCTATAGGATGATCTACTGAGCGAGATGAAAAAACTTAAAGTTGACATTTCCAATAGAAAAAATTAATAAATCCAAATTATTTTATCAATACCGTAATAAAGGAAGCCTTTACATCGAAATGACAACGAAGTCAATACAGACGACATTATCATAAGTGTAAGATAAAAATTATCGTTTTTGCAAAAGAACATTTTAAATATTTTGTATACAAACCTTGATGCTCTACTAAGATCATACAATATGTTTGTGTACAAACCTTGATGTTTTACTAAGATCATACAATATGTTTGTGTACAAACCTTGATGTTTTACTAAGATCATACAATGTGTTTGTGTACAAACCTTGATGTTTTACTAAGATCATACAATGTGTTTGTGTACAAACCTTGATGTTTTACTAAGATCATACAATGTGTTTGTGTACAAACCTTGATGATGTTTTACTAAGATCATACAATGTGTTTGTGTACAAACCTTGATGTTTTACTAAGATCATACAATGTGTTTGTGTACAAACCTTGATGTTTTACTAAGATCATACAATGTGTTTGTGTACAAACCTTGATGTTTTACTAAGATCATACAATGTGTTTGTGTACAAACCTTGATGATGTTTTACTAAGATCATACAATGTGTTTGTGTACAAACCTTGATGTTTTACTAAGATCATACAATGTGTTTGTGTACAAACCTTGATGTTTTACTAAGATCATACAATGTGTTTGTGTACAAACCTTGATGATGTTTTACTAAGATCATACAATGTGTTTGTGTACAAACCTTGATGTTTTACTAAGATCATACAATGTGTTTGTGTACAAACCTTGATGTTTTACTAAGATCATACAATATGTTTGTGTACAAACCTTGATGTTCTACTAAGACCATACAATGTGTTTGTGTACAAACCTTGATATTTTACTAAGATAGTACAATATATTTGTGTACAAACCTTGATATTCTGTTTAGATCATACGATTTGTCAATCATCTGTTGAGTAGGATCAACACAAACTGATAAAACAAGGGTTTCTTTATTGTCTGGTTCTTCTTCTATCTCAAAATAATGTTGTAATACCTAAACCAAAAGTTAATAACAATCATAATACTAATACGGATGTCAAACGTAAAATGATAATAACTTCAAAAGAGTTTGTATTTTCCCCAAAGTTACAAGGCAGATACTTATTTGATGGGGTTTACAAAATAAAACATATCCCATGTGTCTGGAAAATTACAAATGGAGGTGGGGGGGGGGGGGGGGGGGGGGGGGTCTCACTGCACTCTTCATTTAATATAAATACCCGCATATATTTCCAATTCATGTTCTATATAAATACCTGCATACATTTCCTATTAATATTCTATATATCTTGAACCTTGTTTCTTTCAGCATAAAAAAATTTACATTAAAAAAATATATAGATATAAGAAGATGTGGTATGAGTGTCAATGAGACAACTCTCCATCCAAGTCAAAATTTATAAAAGTAAACCACTATAGGTCAATATACATGTATATTAATTTTTATTTTATTCTAATCATCTCTCCTGTCAACGGTTCAAAATTTGATCTCGTGTAAGCAAAATCAATAAAGCATTCTTTTGTTAATCAAATTTTGTATTTTATATGTATATAAATATTTCACCGTTTTTTGATTGATTGTATCTCTATAACTTCAAATGCTATATATATAATTTTTTGATATTCATATATGCGTCTAAAAGATTTCTTAATCTCTCAAAACTTCATCTAAAGATAGATAATTACCTCTAATAATTCAGCAAAGTTGTGTTTATCTCCTGGTGGACTACCTCTTGTGCCTGGGTATTCCCAGTTCACGTCCAAACCGTCAAAATTATGCATGCGTAGATACCGAATAACTTCCAAAGCAAATGCTTCCATGTTTGTACGAGATGATACTAATCTACTCCAACTCTGACTCCCTAGTTCCCATCCACCAACAGATAACATAACAGTTAAATCTTCGTTTATGGTCATTAGATTAGTCAAATCTCTATATCTATAAAATTAAAACAAAGAATAGAAAATAACGAAAGTATTTTTTTTTTGTGTTTTGAATATGCAAGTTTCAAGTTAAAACGAACTCCTTTTTTTCTGAACATCGTGTGTTCTGAAAGGGTGATAATATCCTGCGACTTCGTGATATATCTAAAAGTATTTCGCTTTATTATCAGCATGTCATGAGGGGATAAATATAAACCAAGTATTTGTTGGAAACGAAACATACATGTTAAAAGCAGGTGATATCATGATAAAATGACTTTAGACCTACAATTTCTGCAGACGTTTAAAGGATGTCACTCTACATAAGTCGGGTTTTAACTGACATTTCACTGTTTCAAATACACATAGAAAGTTATTTCTGACTTAATATTATTAAATTATGAGGAAAAAAAATTCTCAAAGTTGACAGCATAAGTATTTCATTCGTTGAACGATGCTTTGGGTAGAAAGTTAGCTTCTTTATATGACACGTTTAAAATTCATCGTATTATCGTTAAAAACTTACAGCTGAAAATCTTCATAACCGTCTGGTAACTTGACAGAGGTTCCGTCATCGTCTAAGGCTGCCGATGCATAGATTAGGTGGGTACATAGAAAAGGGTCTATGTCTTTCGGTTTCAATGAAAATTCATGACCATCTCTGTAGATTGAGCTACCGCTGAAATAACATACTCTTCGGATATCGTAACCTAAGACAAAAATATAGGACGAATTAAAGAATATATTTCCATTTTAATGTGAGTGCAGGTTCCTTTGTGTGTTAGGTATGGTCACGTGATGCTAAATGCAGTACATAAATTCTGTATTACTTAGAATCTAATTTTCCGAAATATTCCTAAATGCGACAAGTTAAATACATATATGGGTACGAATATATTTTACCTTGGATTAATGCTGCCAAAAATATTTGGAAGAGAATTAAAAGCAGCCTCCGAAGATTCATCTGAAAGACTCGTGCGCACGTCGTTGTTATCTCTTTTTATTCCCTAAAATGAATAAGAGTACAAGTATAATAGAAATTTATTATCAACAACAATTACTGGAAACAATTTATGAATTTCTCTCCACCCAGAGAAGAGAAAACAGTTAACCAGCACACACTTATAAGTTGGTTCGCAAGGGTCGACACATCTATATGCCCATTGCTGTATTAATAAACGCTGAACATGTCTATAAGATTTTCAATACGCATGCATTGATTATTGTTTTTGAAATTTATTTCCCAAGGACATTTGTTTCTGTATATATTGAGACTGCTCTAAGGTAGTTATGTGTATGTGGACTGCTATAGGGGTTAAACGTTCGACGTTGTCGAGGAGCAGAAGCGAGGTCATGTTGCAATTTTTTATCCGAACTTGAAAACAACTTTTACGTATACAATTTTACAGACAATAAATCGGGGAAAAATAAACTATCTTATTAACTTGAATATTAATGGATGAACATTCTTCTAATGGATGCAAATATTTATAGAATAAATGTAAAATCAATGTAAAATCATCACAAGTGGAGTTTAAGCTGATGTCGAAATTCAGTAAATTAAAAAAAAATCGAAAATATTGACATTCTGAATGTAAACATTAGTTTTAGCAAAATCGAGAAACATGGATCTGTGAAGGTATATTTGAAATCCTTTTAGTTATTCAAGTGGCGTTGTATATATAGGTGCACATATCGAGATATGTAATAAACTGTTGACGCGGAGATATGTCTCGCCTGTATGTAATTTTGATAGTAAAATACAAATGTCGAAATTAAAACGACAATACTTTAACATGTAAACTACGCTCAAAGACAATGCACCATGACTAAAGATGCATAGTAAAATAACCTCCATGGAAATGAGATATTCCAATGATAAAATACAGCTGCACAACCTTACTACAATTGAACTATAATTTACAAAGGGAGAGAGTATTGCCCATTGGGCAATCACAAATCATAAGTAAATAAAAACAAACAAAATAATGACCAAATGAAAATCGACGATAAGATAAACGAGAGTCCACAAAACTTATTGAGTACTACGAATCCCATCAACACGTTCCCACCAAACACCAGAACGGTTGAAATGATGTACTCTGGAAGGGTCAGCAGAGCCTGCTCTGACAGTGACAACTGCCTTGTTACTCTTATGAGTCTGATTCATAGGTGTCATACAATTGTTAAAGGTCTCTTGTCTAAAAAATGAAAATGGCATGCGTCCGAAGCGCTTTTCTGGATTTACCTTCATCAGGAACGCTCAATGCCTAATATTTGAAAGCCAGGGATGTATATAAGAACCGAAACATTTGAAGAGCTAAACATTAAAAATGACCTAAAAAATAGCCAAATCCATCTAAGGTCAACTTTGCCTGAGGGAGTTGAAACCTTAGTTTCTAAATAATTTCAAAATTTATAAACGGACAATTTTAGAAAGGTTTGTTATAAATCATGTCAGTACCGAAGTACTGACTACTGAGCTGATGATACCCTCGGGGACTGATAGTCCACCAGCAGAGGTATCGACCCAGTTCTGTAAAAAATGAAAACAACACGTTATAAATTTCATGCGTTCGAAGCGCTTTTTCTAACAATAAAACATCAACAGATTCTTAAACCATCTGAACTTTTTATTTCTATACCCTTAATCTGACCGAACGTGAAAGTTTGTATTAAAATCAGTTTTCAGGACAAATGATAGTTTAATAAAGACTTTTGTTTTACATGTTTTCATGTATTCAATTCCGATAGAAATGTTTAATTTAACATTCTGAAAACAATAACTTAATGTAATGTTTTTTATTCAACTATTTGTTGCTGTGACAATTGATAGACTAAGAAATTAGTCTTATTATTTAAAATACGAGCAGAAATCATATCATTTACGGAAAAAAATACAGTTGAGATATATAGAACGATAATTCTTACCTAATATGTTGTTTACCAATAAATATATTAAGTACAATTTATTGTGCGATAGACAACAAAACTATCTTCATTTTTCATATGCAAATGAGTTATTACATGATTAACTGTGTAATTTTGACTGCTTGATCAATTCATAAATTGTTAATAATCAAAATTAATAAAGAATTTTTACAAAATTGTTGAAATATATTGTAAAAATTATGCAAATTTGACAATGAACTAATTGTGTGGTCAATATATTGCTTTACACATTATATTAATAATGGCTTCCGTTTTGTTTTTTTCCTATTCGTGTGTTATTTGGTGCAAATTAAATAATTAATGCATGTAATAAATCTAAAGATTTATTGTATTACCATCGATTAAATAGATATTGACAGTTGGCAGTCAAGACAGCTAAGATTATTTCTATTCAAAATTAGTAAATTAACATATTGCTGCACGATTTTGAATATGAAAGAACGGGAGAATAGAAATGATTTTTGGACACTTAAAAGTCGAAAAAAAATTACCTGTCACAGAGTCTTGCAGAATTTTACTCCTATAGAGTAAATATGAAAGTTGAAAGTTGAGCTATAGTAGTTTAATTCCTATTCAAATGTAAATCACAAAGAAAAGGGTCTTATAATTACTCTCTATTTAAGCCTTTGAGCTCAAAATCATAAAATATTATAAATCTATAAAACAACATCCTGCAAATATCAGTCTTTTCAAACTGTAATATATGTTTGATCATATAGCTCGTCAACTGTTTCGGTTCTTATACATCCTTGGCTTTCAAATATTCGGATTTGAGCGTTCCTGGTCAAGGTAAATCCAGAAAAGCGCTTAGGACGCATGACAATTATAAAGTGTTGTTTTTATAATTTAGATATCACCTGACACAGTTAAAACTTTCAAACTTCTTTTACTTCACGAAAAACTGCAAAACTGCAAAAAATTTACATGTTTTTATATCTGCCAATTCCATTATAAGATATGAGCAACAATAGTCAACACAAAAACATTTTGTCTTTTTCAAAGATGTTGATTTTAGTGAGAAATCTTCTGATGTATGGTGGTTGCTTGTAATTAATCTAACCAAAATCTACATTTAATCCTTTTACAAATATGTCAACCTCAAAATATTTTTCTATTGGCTGTATGACATTGTGTCGCGGGAACAACACCATTCTCAGAACAAGTACTTAGCTTGATCTATTGGCTGTATGACATTGTATCGCGGGAACAACACAATACTCCGAACAAGTACTAAAGTACTAAGCTTGATCTATTGGCTGCATGACATTGTGTCGCAGGAACAACACAATACTCAGAACAAGTACTTAGCTTGATCTATTGGCTGTATGACATTGTGTCGCGAGAACAACATTATACTCAGAACAATTACTTAGCTTGATCTATTGGCTGCATGACATTGTGTTGCGGGAACAACACAATACTCAGAACAAGTACTTAGCTTGATCTATTGGCTGCATAACATTGTGTCGCGGGAACAACACAATACTCAGAACAAGTACTTAGCTTGATCTATTGGCTGCATGACATTGTGTCGGGGGAACAACACAATACTCAGAACAAGTACTTAGCTTGATCTATTGGCTGTATGACATTGTGTCGCGGGAACAACACAATACTCAGAACAAGTACTTAGTTTGATCTATTGGCTGCATGACATTGTGTCGCGGGAACAACACAATACTCAGAACAAGTACTTAGCTTGATCTATTGGCTGTATGACATTGTGTCGCGGGAACAACACAATACTCAGAACAAGTACTTAGTTTGATCTATTGGCTGCATGACATTGTGTCGCGGGAACAACACAATACTCAGAACAAGTACTTAGCTTGATCTATTGGCTGCATGACATTGTGTTGGGGGAACAACACAATACTCAGAACAAGTACTTAGCTTGGTCTATTGGCTGTATGACATTGTGTCGCGGGAACAACACAATACTCAGAACAAGTACTTAGCTTGATCTATTGGCTGCATGACATTGTGTCGGGGGAACAACACAATACTCAGAACAAGTACTTAGCTTGATCTATTGGCTGTATGACATTGTGTCGCGGGAACAACACAATACTCAGAACAAGTACTTAGTTTGATCTATTGGCTGCATGACATTGTGTCGCGGGAACAACACAATACTCAGAACAAGTACTTAGCTTGATCTATTGGCTGTATGACATTGTGTCGCGGGAACAACACAATACTCAGAACAAGTACTTAGTTTGATCTATTGGCTGCATGACATTGTGTCGCGGGAACAACACAATACTCAGAACAAGTACTTAGCTTGATCTATTGGCTGCATGACATTGTGTTGGGGGAACAACACAATACTCAGAACAAGTACTTAGCTTGGTCTATTGGCTGTATGACATTGTGTCGCGGGAACAACACAATACTCAGAACAAGTACTTAGCTTGAACTTGTAGAGAAAAGTTCAGGAGTGGCAACCAACAAACATTAACACATTTAAATTGAAGTCACTAAAACAAATTTAGGTGTTTGTTATTAGGCCATACACATTAAAGAAAAAAAAAACCAAGATGAACATATATACATTTTTTTGTCTAATAATCGAGACGCTCGAAACTGATAACTGTAAAAAAAAGTAGTTAAAGCCATTAAAGAACAATTATTTTTGCAAATTTATTAATTTCTTTTGTTTTCTTTAATGTAGAAAGGCATAATTTTAAGTCGCTATACTCGCATTTTTAGTAAAGTTTCCGTGCCAATGAATAGACAAAATGTGTTAAAAACCGTTGCTGTAAATTGTTAGATTTCAGGAAATTGTATTGTGCATAGAACTTTCATGGACATTCTGAAAACTTATGTACGAACGATTGATTGTTTGCTGGTTGCTTATAGCCCAATGGGAAATATTACTTGCATGTTCAAAAAGAGAACAACTTATTAATAAGTACAATAGGTAGGTTTTGCAAGGTAGGGGTCGATTGGGATGAAAGGCGGGACATTTAGACTGCCAATGGGAAATGAGCGCATGTTGATTTCAACTCCCTCAGGCAAAGTTGACCTTAGATGAATTTGGCTATTTGTTTTAGGTATTTTTGTCATATAGCTCTTCAACTGTTTCGGTACTTATACATCCCTCGGATTTCAAATGTTTGGCTTTGAGCGTTCCTGATGAAGGTAAATCCAGAAAAGCGCTTCGGACGCATGAAATTATTAAACGTGTTGTTTTCAATTTTTTACAGCACTGAGTCGATACCTCTGCTGGTGGACTATCAGTCCCCGAGGGTATCATCAGCTCAGTAGTCAGTACTTCGGTATCGACATGATTTATAACAAACCTTTCTAAAATTGTCTGTTTATAAATTTTGAAATTATAAAGAAACTAAGGTTTCAACTCCCTCAGGCAATGTTGACCTTAGATGAATTTGGCTATTTGTTTTAGGTGTTTTTGTCATATAGCTCTTCAACTGTTTCGGTACTTATACATCCCTCGGATTTCAAATGTTTGGCTTTGAGCGTTCCTGATGAAGGTAAATCCAGAAAAGCGCTTCGGACGCATGAAGTTATTAAACGCGTTGTTTTCAATTTTTTTGGATTGGGACAGCAATTTTGCCTTAAAACCGGACCACTAAAAGAGTTGTTGCAAGAGTTCCGAATCGTGAAGAGACACTTTATCTACACGAGGATTTGACTTTCTAAATTTGATTGGATGTTGCTGCAAAATTATACATCCCGCACAGCTAAACAGACGTCCTACTTTGGCAAGGGTTTTACTGACGTCGGAAGAAGACCAACGGTTAGGGGAGGGTTGGCGCCTTCAAACAGGTTTAACCCCACCACATTTATTATGTGCCTGTCCCAAGTCAGGAGCCTGTAGTTCAGTGGTTGTCGTTGGTTCATGTCTGTCATATTTGTTTTTCGTAAATTGTTTTGTAACAAATTAGGCCATTAGTTTTCTCAGTTGAATTGTATTTTTAAAAACATCTTATTCATTTCAAAGATATTTGGAATTTTAATATTCTATTTATTTGTCCGTTCTTTTGTTTTACCACATATTATCATTGGGCGAGTCAAGTACGACATTATTCGTATACTTTTGGGGGAAAGTGAGACGGTGTATTTGTTTAGTCATTTGAATAAAAAATGTCTAAATCATGATCTGCTTTTATTTCATTTCAAATTTTAAAGAATTTAGAATCGTTGTAGTTTTCATAATGTTTTAGCTAATTCTCTGGAAGAAATAATGGAGGAAGTTCTAGATAGAGTGATCCTCTACCGGAACAGCATCCAAGAACAGCAGATAGATAACTGAATCAATATGCATGGAGCATTTCCATCCAACATCTCAGTAGAGATCATTCATATTAAGGCTGGCTGAATTTGACTTGAAGTTTTTTTTTTCAATTTCTTGACATTATACCAGAAACATCTGACGTTGGCCATATTGAATGGCAAACAATCATGATTGTTACAAAATTATTGATAAAATGTAACTGCTTCACAAATAAAGGGGATTTCTAGCAGATGCTTTTTTATTACCATCATATATCGTGCTGCTTATAAAAAATCTAATCCTTTTTAACTCTATAATCGAAAAGAGTTACAGAATGGAAGTTTTAAGATTTTTACGAACTTTAAAGTGCATATTCATTTTTGTTAAAATGTGACACTATTTGCCACACAATGTATATGAATTGTTTAGAATATTTGAATAAGAACGCAAAGCACCTGCATACTTCTATTTTAATGTTAAAAAAAACTAACAATGATATTGCAAAAAGTAGTCTTTATATCATTATTTAAAAATGCTTAGTGTATATATAAGTACAAAATATGTAATTTGAGACGAGTAACATTGTCAAACTGTGAAAGACTTGGTAATAATAATAGCTGAATTATAATGGAACGTATGTAATAGTTACACCAACTGTCATAAACTGCTAAATTATAAATAATTGATAGCATGATATTTGACGACAATTATTACAATATAAATGACAGTTTGTTAAGCAAACTTAGTTTACATATATACAGTTTTAATGAGGAAATGCACAAAAAAATCCTTTGCAAATTCAGTATAGGTGTTTCACAAATGACTGTATAGACCGCTCTCTTGCACAATTTGACCCTTTACCAATTTTGACCATTGGGTAATGAGGCGGGTGTCGGGTTGTATCATCTACGAGTTTTAGATTTTCTATTTCCTTCTCATTTTCTAGCTCTTTTACAATATATATATATATATAACCAAATTACAAGAGACCAAATAATATTTGAAAGTAGATACGGAGTTAACATCATTGACTGAGTAACCAAATATGAAAGTCGTCAATATTCCGATAGATAAATAGCCATAGTCGGGTTGTATCATTTATAAGTTTTCGATTTTTTTATTTCCTATTCTTTTTATAGCTCTTTTACAATATTGACTTAAGTAACCAAATCCGAAAGTCGTCAATATTCCAATAGCTAAATGGTCATTTCATTTACAAGTGGTATGCTGTCAAACATTTTTACAAAGGTTCTACGAACTATAGGATGCATACATACATAAACAACGCATAGCAAAATTGACAGGTTATTGCATATGTTCACATCTTCTTTGTTAAAAAAACCCCAATCATTTCAAATATTTTGCATGAACATTTTTCAATATTTTCTGTTTTAAAGATTTTTTTTATATGAAACATATACGTTTCCATCATAATATATAATTTTATTTCTACAAAAGATATTTATGATTTTCGATACAGTCGCTTCTCTAATAAAAAAATCAATGTCATAAGTAAAATTCAGTTTGATATATTCTCTTAAACTTTCATGAAGGAGTATTTCATAGTTGTGCTGAGTATCCTCTGTTCTCATGGCCACCATTTACCTGTCATCGAGAAATGAAAATATTTGAATTTAATAATTTCTCATCATTAATATGTCACAACATATAAAACAATGACTAAATTAAAAAAAAAACACTACCCATTTGCTTTTCTTGTTATCCGTAATTTACAATTAACTGTTTTTCATCTTTTCAACTCTTTTCCAAAATGATTACAACTATAATTTTTAAGACATTACAATATCATAAAAAATGTGTTATAATAACTTAATTTGAAATACTCCTCTCATTATTTCTTTCATGATTTTGACTTAGCCGACTTTCTTAAAAATTGGGTTAGTTTTGGACAAGCAATAATTTGTCGGGATGTATAATAATTTGATGTATATATATTACCGATGAAAGTGGTACTTTGTCTGATGAGTACTGACGTCTTCTAGATATAAAACAAGCCAATGCTACAGCTAAACACAAGACTAATGTCAAGGTCACTGCAATGACGACGATAAGTGCAACAGTCGTCTGGGAAAACTCCTCATTTTTCTGGCTGTCTGTTGTTTTTTCTCCAGTTTGTGCAGCAGTACTCTAAATTAAATAATGTAAACCGATATATGAATAAGACAACAAAAAACAGCAGTAATTCTATCAACAATGGGGGACGGATTTATAAAAGTTTTTTTCCAAGCTTGTTTCCGAATCCCATATTTGTCTACTATGTAAAATGGTACTATTATATTGTTATAATTTTCAATAATAAATGCTGTTTTAACTAACACCATAAAAAATCTAACTTCAGATAAAAGGCCTACATTATAGTAATGTTTCATCACGGCAATTGCAGATTATCTTTTATTCAATTTAGGTAAGCTTTTGGGGAAATTGTCATAACCATTGAACAACTCGTCCTTTAAAACATATACTGGTAAATTACAACCTTGAAATAGGCTTTTGGGAAGGAAAATAAAAGTACAATGGCATATAAGACGATATATAATTTTACTTTTATTTTGTTAACCCCTCTGTATTGTCCAATAAACTAATTTCTAATATGCTATACCAGGAAATGTCATCGAACTTCAATTCTTTAAAATGTGACAAAACTATTATCCCCTCTGACAATGTTGAAATAAAAAGCTGTGCCATGAGCGCATGATACGCCCGTCGCCACTGACTGGACAGTTTTAGACAATTTTTCAACTAATAAAGTTCCATAACTCCGCAATGTCATATCAGAAATTTATAAAAACAAAAGGGAGCTTATTTCAATATATATAAACAAGTCACCATAGTTTCATGATAACTGCTAAAAGCGTTTTTGAGTTATTGTCCGAAATACTGAAAAATCCCCCCTTTTTTAAGGAATAAAGTCCCAATACTCCAAAACGTAAAATCATTTTTTTTTTAAATCGAAAGGGTACTTATGTCAATATATATAAACAATTTTTCATGAAAATTGTTCATAACATTTTTGAGTTATAGTCATAAAACTGGAAAATCACCACTTTTTATGAATAAAATCCCATAACTCGGAAACGTAAAATATAAATTTATAAAAATCGAAAGGGAGCTTACGTAAATAGATATTAACAATTCACCAAAGTTTCATGAAAATTGGTGAAAGCGTTTTTGAGTTATTGTCTGACATGTTGACGACGGACGGACGGACGGACAACGGTATACCATAATACGTCCTTTAAACGGAAGTAAAAAAACGATACCAGGTTTATGTTATAGGTTATGAATTACCATATGAGGCGAAGCTGTAGTTTGTTGATTATTTTCTGTCATACGTGTGACGAAGGATATCTCTGCTACTGCAAACTTTTTGTCAGGAGAAAGTTCTTCTGCCTTTTCAACGAAAAAAAAAATCAGGTGAAAGAAAAAGCTAAAACAAATTAGTGACCTTTTCTTGTTTCTTCAGGGCAAATTGCGAGTATGGATATAATTTAACAGGGAAGGGGGATAATATGATTTTTAAAATTTGAAAAGTATTCCGCCAATTCTTTTAGTTTATCTTGAAAAAAAAATCCATTTATTGTTCATTTTACGATAAATAAATTGAACAACACGAAATAATGTATAAGTATATATCATTCATTTTTATATACAGCATATATAGATAAAGTAAACCTAATGCCAAACGTCTAAACTTTTTACACACAGTAGAAATAAAATGTTACTTTAACAGTCCAAAATAAGTATTTCAAAGTATTCTGAAAATCTCACCTTCAGCAATATCACAAATTCTCGAGGAAGTTCAACACTTTTGACCTGTTTAACAATAGCTTGGAAATAGTTTCCCATTTTCTTCGTCTCCACGGAAAAATAGCTATCATATCCGGATGGATAAGCTAAATAAGAAATATTGACACAAAAGTTAAAAAATGTGAAATAAAATGCAGTTATTGTTTTGTCCTATACGACAACCTCAAAGTGATCAGCTTTTATTAGTTCATGTCAATCAGGAAATGGCCTGCTGCTATTTGGGGATGGAATCAATGCAATTTCGCTTCGGACGAACCAAATTTATGAAGTGTTATGTTCATTAAATAGCACTGGATCGATACCACTGCTTGTGGGCTTTTAGCCCTCTTGGTATCATCAGCTCAATAGTCAGTGCTTTGGTACACATATGATTTTTAAAATACTTTTTCTTAAATCCTCCGTTGAAAAATGTAGAATCTATTTATAAACGATGGTTACAACTAAGTTTGGCTATTCTTTAAGGTACGGTTTGGTCATATAGCTCTTCAATTATTTTGGTATTTATGATGATTCATGCAAACTATACTTACTCAAGAAAACGGAAGAAAATAAAGATTGTTTGTCGTCAGTTTTTACATTTTACATCAGTAGAAATTACATCTTTGCTTTACCGTAAAGCAAGATTGATATCTTTTTAATTAAAGAACGAACGTCCACTAGCGGTGAAAAAAATACATAATATTTCAAGTATAACTCTTTGTTTAACTGGTGGTATTTTAGAGATATAATTGGTAATTTGGATAGGTTTTCTTCCTATTTTGCAGGATGCTCTTTTGGAAAGTGTCACTTTTATTGTTTGATGGACAGCGTTGACTTTGATTTTGCTCTAGAAAAGTATCGCCTAATGTTTTGGCTAGTTGTTATGTGACAAAGTGCCATTCCTAATTTAGTTGAGTGTTATGTGACAGCTATTAGTTCGGCAAATACAAACATAATATCTGTTTAGGGATCAGTTTCTTAATTTTGAAGTTAATTAAAAAGAAAAACAACCAAACAAAACCATCCCTTTGCATTTATTCATACCTTATTTAATTACGCACGATGACCTTAATTCGAAAAGCATGATTTCAATTTTCAATTAACCGATTGTAAGCGCTTTCATTAGTATACAAGAAATGTGATATTTAACTTACTTGTCGCCACAGAAAATGCTACGTCACTTGGAACTCCGTCCATATCTTCGGCCAAAATCTTAATTGCGTTTCCAGTTACGTCAGGAAAGCCATGAAATTGTAGCTCTTGATTCTAAAAATGTATTTTAGCATTTTTTTGAAATAATAATCGAAGAACATATAAAATCAAAGCTTGATATACTTTTATACAATATGAAGTTTTTGTCTATATAGATTATTGGCTGATATCCGCCTATACAAATCATTGCAGTATTTCTGGCCGACGTATAAGCCTGTAAAGAATAATGAAGTATCTGTCTGGATAGGTAGTAACATTCACATGTATAGATCATTTCAGACTTTCAGGTCGACGTCATCTTGTAAATACCAATGCAGATTTTTCTGTATAAGTAATTGTTTGACATCCGCCTGTACAAATAATTGCAGTCTTTCTGGTTGACGTCAGTCTGTAAAGTCCACTGAAGTTTTTGTCTGTATATGTAATTGGTTGACGTCCACCTTTACAGTTTATTGCAGTCTTTCAGGTCAACGTTTGGCTATAAAGATCACTTAAGCTTATATAGATACATTTATAACATCCGCCTGTACAAATCGTTGCTTGCAGCCTATGTTGTCGACGTCAGTCTGTATTTGCAGATAATTGGCTGATTGTACAGATCATTGTAGTCTATGTAGTCGACATATATTGATCAGACTGCTGACGGAATTCTACAGTTTAAGCCTTATAAGTTATCCATCAAAGAAGAAGGAACCGATACCAGATCTCTTCATTTGACAAAATTATCAGATATTCGAAAATCGAAAAAAAACTCTCTCGTTTGATATAGTCTCTTCACTGTCCTCGCCAATAACACAGATAGTCATCAAAAAGTATGAACGTATTAAAAGCATCAAGACACACGCACATAGATAATGCATGGCTGTTTTTAAATGGAAATACAATAAACGTATGATTGTCCCTTCGGTATCTTTTGCAACTCATTTTCATAAAGCAGAGACGTGGTTCAGTGAATCAGATGTGGATACTAAAAAAATCCAAAGATCTTTTAGAGTACATACACTTATGGAGCAGGATCTCCTTACCCTGCCGGAGAACCTGAGATCACCCCAGTTTTTGATGGGGTTCGTGTTCCTCGGTCTTTAGTTTTCTATGTTGTGTTTTATGTACTGTTGTTTGTCTGTTGGTCGTTTTCTTTTTTAACCGTGGCATTGTCAGTTTATTTTCGACTTATGAGCTTGAAAGTCTCTTTGGTATCTTTCGCCTCTCTTTTTTTCAAAGATACTTCAAATTAAATGCATGTTCTATTTCATACTTGAGCAGACTAATTATTGAGGCTTATGGCAAATAATGACTTGTCTTCTTAACTAGTTATAATCGGTTTTAAGAAAGAGAATAGCTTTTCTAAATTAATTTCTCTATTGAATATGTCTTCAATAAATCCTTACCAAAAGTATTGCAGGTACATCTATTGTATATTTTGGCAATACACAGGACATTTTATGCTGCAGACAACCAGTATACATGTAAGAGGGTCCATTGTCGTTTCCATCAGTAACATGTATTTTTATATCAGTATATGCTGATCGCATTGTATTTGGTCCGCCGTCCTGTAGTACATGATTTCAAATGCCATTATATTTGTAAAAGACAGTAAAGAAATTAGGAAATGTTATTATTATTACAGATAATAAATGAATAACAACAGAAGAGTCAAGCGTTTCGTTAAATTACAGTGATTTTGTTCAATACTGCTTTGGTAATGAATTAAGTTTCAAAATGTAAATAAACGGGGAAAAAATAACCAGCAAAGAAATTAAAAAATGAAATAATTGTTTCATCTTTCATATATTTTTATTTAAGATTTAATATTAATCTTAACTATTTGAAAATAAACTGCAGTTCAAAATGTCGAGAAAAATATTTGCCTCGATACTTACCATAACAACAACACGAATAACATAATACTTGTGTCCATCCCCTAAACTTTCATAATCTAGATTGCCTCTTACTGTGAGGATGCCTTGAAGTGCGTCAATATCAAATAAATCGCTTCCATCATTCTGTTAAAAAAAATATAAATGATTTTTATCATTTTATGGAAATGAAAACTCATTTAATCTATTTGTGCCTAATTCGACCATCTTTCTGTCAAATATGCTCCATAAAAATATAAAGACCACCAATTAATATTTACCATAGCAATAGTTTTTTTAAAGTTCTTGCCTGGACATATTTGACAGCAGCAATGGACTTCAGAATGGCATTGAGAAAGTTTTGTTTCTCTCTAATTATTGACAACCCGTAACAACTCATTAAAAAGTTTACGACATTGACGTTTAAAGAGAAATCAATGCCTTGAAAAATACTGATCTCTGAAATTCAGCTGTGTCCCTAAAATGAAATCTTGCATAAAAATGAGCCAAGTAACGTCTGATTCTGTTACCAATTTTTTTTTTGAAATGTTTGTAACTAAAAATGAATAACTCAAAATAGCAATCACAAGGTGCAAACATGACGGTCTTATTTTAAAAAAATGACTTGAAAAACAAACGTGTTGATTTAACGCTAAAGAAAATGGGTACTTGAACAAAACGATAATTATTTCTGTCATTTTTCTGAAGAATCTGCTTCATCTAATACAGTGAAATGTCAACTGGTGCTAGAATTCATCGAAATTGACAGAATGGATATTTTATAGGGAAATGGTGATTTTTAAAACTCGAAACTGAAAATTAAAAAAAAAGGAGATAATGTATCAAATCTATTCTTATTAAATATATAATGTTAAATTTATGCACACCACAAATGAGTAATAAAGTCAACGATAGTATAAGAGTAAGTTGTTAGTATAATTATTTTATTTCTTTCTTGTTTAGACTGAATTGAAAAATATCTAATCTTTCTGGGATCATAATTCTGAATTTATCCTCTTTCAGTCATTTTTAAAAAGTTGAAGGCACAACGAGATAGTATTGGATTCAAATTGCCAGTTACTTTCAGCCAAATAGTGTTTTTCAATATTCTACTATTGAGACTTACCACAATGCCTGAATTCTTTATAATACTGAATGTAATGTTACCATCCAAATTCGAATCTTTATCAACGGCAGTAACTGTTAATAACTGTGTACCAACTGGTGTAAGCTGTTTAAAAAAAAGGTTCAAGTTGAAAAAAAGTAATATTAATATATATATTTTTTAATCATATAACAAATGACAAATATGTTGATGCTCCTGCGACAAAAATCCAAGAAACACCGTTTTTTTTCGTTTAAATCACATTTTATAAACTGCTTGACAACGGAATTTGGAATTCACAGTTCACTTGAAAACTTACCATACTAGTATTCTCCAAAGACACTGATTAAAGAGAAGATCCTGGATATCTGTTTTATGATTCTTTTGGAATTTCAACCAGAAGTGAAGAACTTAATCCTGCTTTACATTCCAGTCAGTTACATATATATCCTTACAAATAACACTATTGTGTTTCGTCTGCAAAATGCTCCACGAAATCGCATTCCAATTACTAACATTATTTTTCGCAATCAAAACAGTGTTTCAGAGTTACTATCTACTTTAGACTCCAGGGGGAACCCCGGAAGTTTTGATCAGTTGTTGGATACTTAAAAATTCCGAAGATCATTTAGAGTGAAAACAATCATTTCGTGTAATATTATATAAACATTTCTAAATTTTCATTCCTTTACTGAAGCATCGATTCATTCCTCATTATAATTTTAAAAACAATAATCCAGCTTTAAATCTTAAAAATTACCGACGTAGATACAACTTGAAAAATCATACTTATACTTATAGATTATCGTTGGTTATCTCAACGAGATTGATTTTCTTGCTTGAGCCGGTACGGCGAAAGTGAGAAAAGCAATCGAGTTGAGATGAACAATGATAATCTGTTTATCGCCATTTTACCTATGAAGACGTTGTTAATTTCCTTGACAACGGCGCGAGTTCCTTTAGTTTCTAGCGATAATTTTCAAATCACTCGACTCCGCTGAGAACGGAAATTATCAGTCAGCAAGATCAAAGGAAAAATTCGTAAAATAGCGATAATTATGATTATCGTAAAAACCACTCTGCCTCAAACAGTTCTCTGACGCTGCTTGAAGTTTTGATTTAAAAATATTTTTTGCGTTTGTTGAACGTGTTTTTTCTTCTCAGCAAAATAGTCCGCATTCCTATTGGAAATTAACTATTTTTCTCTTCTCGACGACTTGTTCTTCTATCTGTGTGAGGCAAATATAATATTGGGGTTTGTCAAAAAGAATGAAAGGAATTAGCGGTATCCTGTACATGCTAGTTATAAATACATGATGTCCTCTCACTGAATAATTGAGTTTTAATCATTTGTATTTAGGTAAAACCAGTTTGACCAAATACAAACTTAGTGTGCCGAACTGTTCTCTTGGTTAAAACATTCATTTGACTATTACCCATTTATGAGACTTTTAGTCTTTCATTGGGAAATTTCATTGTTATTCGGCTTCAGCCATTCTCTCGATAAACCAAATAACGATCATGTTCTGATCAGGAACGGACTTTGTTAACAGGGTTGTGCTTCTTACACAAAACTTGCTCCAACAGAGTTATGAGAAAGAACGACTGAAATCGACACTGCACAAGTTTAACGGTCATCATCACCAACTTGTTGACCGATACGATTCACTAGCGACATGTTTTCGCGGTCTTAGATCTTTAGATACCAGTAAAGTAGTCTGATCTGTAAAGTACCGAAAGTGTTCTTTTTCCCAATTATGACATTGACTGAGTGTGAATTCACAGGGTGGGTGATGCTCGGAGTTCATGCGACTCACTCAGTTTTTCTAGGGTTCTTCCTAATCTATTTACAAGATTTCAACATCGGTAAACTACTGTCTCCTCAATATGTCACGAAAACATTTGATTTTGGTTTAGGTTTTTAAAATTCCTTAAAAGGATTCTTTCAATAAAAGCATATCAGCAATCTAAAGAAATCAAAAGTTGATCCAACTGAATAGCTTGCATATTCGAACTGGATTTCCTTCATTCAAATCCAAAAGCTAAAGATGTATAAATAATTATTTTTTTTAATAATTCGTGATATGACAATGAAATAATCATATCTTCCAACTGTTTCTTACCTCATTAATAGTAGTTTCATATGGCGCATTATAAAACATAGGTGGGTTGTCGTTCTTGTCCATGATCATGATACTGACATCATAAAAGATCTGTTCAATAATAAGAATTAAGAATTATAGAAGGTTTTTTGGCATGCAAATTACAGCCTGTCTTGTGGATAAGTTAATGTGTTGATTTTTCTTACATGAACTGAGTGTCCAGACATATGATAAAAGGCAAAATATAATACATTAATGTTTATTTTCAGAAGTATAGAACATAGGTCTAGTCGGTTAATGCAAACTTCCTACACTTTATTCCTTAAATGCAAATTATCAAACATGCCATAGCTGTTATATCGTTATTTTATAGTTCAGTGTCAATTTTCGTATTGGTTTTTATTTTTTATTGCAAAAACATAAGATGTGGTATGATTGCCAATGAGACAACTCTCTGCCAAGGGCCAAATAAAGTACATTTAAGCAACTATAGGTCACCGTACGACGTTAACAATGAGCAAAACTCATACCGTATGATATGCTATAAAAGCTAGGCCCCGACATGACAACAAGGAAAACAATTCAAACGAAAAATGTATGTTTTATGTACGTTTTGGTTATTTACAGATCGAGATTAAATAAGCGGGAGACTTGAGATCTTCAAAAAATTATTCTACCCTGCCACATATGCATGTGCTTGTCCCAAGTCAGGAACTACTTCAATAGTTGTCGGATGTCATACTAGTATCTTAGTGTTTTTCGTTATTTTGAGGAGTTGGTGTAGATTCAAGATCTTTGATTGGTTTTGTTTCATTTATTCACAACTTTGGAATATTTACAGCTTGGCATATTGTATGGTATATCCCACATCTTAACTGCGTAATAGGGTTTTTATGTACATCTCACGACCACTGTTCATTCACTTTCAAATATAACCTGTTATATTTAGTAAAATTTACAAATAACTAAGTCAATTGACTTCAAAAGCCTTGTGTTATAGAGAGCATATGTATGTCTTTATTGTCACGAGTGTCTAATGTGGTACATTTGAATGTTCTTTGAAAAGACACAATGGGTTTGGATATTATCAAATCAAGGATCAGAATGGTATTTTGTTTTTGTTTTTTGACTTTCTGCCACGGAAAGATATAAAACAAGATCTTGATATAATTACACCAAATCCTTTCTTTTCTAATATAATATCACTAATGGTGCCTGATATACAAATCCTATTCTCTTAAGTCTGGAATCAAACAATAAAATTTGTCGATCTGTATCGGGTCTTTTATATATTGGGTACGTGCTTTTTTTAAATAGATTCCAGTTGTATAAGAAATTAAAAAAAAACCTAAATGGACAAGCATTATGAAATGATTTATCTTTCACCTATAGAAGACAATGGCCTTTCCCTGAGCTTTCCATTTTGTTTACATTTACTGTAAAAAAAGTTTGTGATATCATACTTTATGACAATATTATCTTACTTCTACTGAGAGGTTGTTGGCTGGGGAGCACTTCAAGGTGAATGTGATAACACTGATATCATCATCTACACTTTCCGTTGGACCCTGAATAAAAAAATGTGATAAATATCAGTTGAACTAAAAACGGTCTTTGTCCCTGAAAGAAAAAAGCGAAACATTTAAATTGAATTTAAATGGAGTATTTAACGTACATGTATATTACCGGTTATATCTGGATGTTATTGTGGATTGTTAATTCATTTAAAAGATCGTCTTGACCATTTAAATGTTTACAGTAGTACTTAGCTCGTCGAAGTGAATAACGTCAAACGAACGGAAACACTATATAGGACGAAAGAAAAGGGAAAAAATTACTGGTCAGCACTCAGCGTCACTGTATTCAACTATGATTGCATCAGCCTGGGAAAAGTATAGAACGTCCCAGCATCAGCTTAATTAATAATAATTGTATAATTCACTACACTTGTATGTAACTAAAATTTAGTTTTTTTCATGCTATTTGTATTGATTGAATTCTTGTTCATTATTGTATGTCATAAACCCTCTTTTGGGTATAAATGTGCATTTGCTACATGTGGAGCAGGATTTGGTTACCCTTCCGGAGCACTTGAGATCACCCTCGGTTTTTGGTTTGGTTCGTCTTGCTCAGTCTTTAGTTTTCTATGTTGTTGTTTTTTGTGCTGTTGTTTGTCTTTCGGTCTTTTTTTTCTTTTTTAGCCATGGCGTTGTCAGTTTATTTTCGACTTGTGAGTTTGAATGTCTCTTATGTATCTTTTGACTCTCGTTCTAAATAAATCAAATCAAAATAACAAAAATCATAGAACTGTGCTTAATGTGTAATATTGCTACGCAATTATAGGGAACTTCAAATCGTATATGATATTTCTGAAACTCTGGTGGTCATATTGTCTCCTTGGTATCTCCTTTTGTTTTTTCAAGAACGATTAACAATGTTTTATATTTAAGTCATGGACAACTTACATCTCTGTCTAAGGGTTGAACTAGACGGATAATACTATGCCCTGACACACTTTCGAATTTGAATTTTTCTGCTGGATTAATTATCAGATAGTCTGTCTGTGGCTCCAAGACAATTCCATTAGGTGAATTTACATCTAGAACGCCATTTATTCGTACTTGAGACTGGTACATAGGATCGTTAGGGTATAGAAGTAATTCTGAAAATAAATTGCTTATATCCATCAAATATTTATATACGCTGACAGAAAATAAATAAAATGTAAAAAACGCAATAAAAGTAACAAATAAAACAAGTTAATTAAAAAGCAATATATGTCATAATTCTTACGCTATCGTGTTTAATAAAAAGAAAAGAATCAAGTAAGCCGTCTCTATATGGAAGATCGTGAATAAATGGTTGACATTGAAATTAATGCAGACATTGTCCTCATGGTGAACTATAAAAAGACGAGTTCTAAAATTATTTGAATATAATTGATTAGCTGTGATAATTAAAAGGAAAATCGACACAATAGAGCGTGAAATATTTGTGACATTTTGAAATGTTTGGTATTATGAAATTTATATTAACAAATTTACTGATGGACTCTTATATTATGAAAAGATGTCGTTAGGATTTCTGAACGAGTGTCAGTCTCACAATACTAAGTTTGATTAGATATTACATAACTATTTATCCGACACATGTCGTGAATATGGTACAAAGCACCTAGTAAAAATAATCCAAATTAAAATTAAAATCTACATTCTTGTCTAAATACACTTAATTGAAACAGTTTTGGGCATTGTTGACTAACAATCTTCCGGCCGAGATAATATGTGTCATACTGACATGTACAGCTGTAAACATATGTTTGTTACTTGTTTTAAATATTTGTATAAAACCGGCAATTTCTATCTAGACATTTTTAAAGACATTTCGACCTGAAGTTAGGGACACATAAAAAGGTAAAAAGTTCATAGGCCTTCTGTTTACTTAGACTGATATCGTCACGGATACATTGTGGTTAAATGTCTTATATATCATTGATATGTCACCCCTTCAAGTATCCAATGATGAACGGGTAGGTTAGGTGAATCCGGTTTTATGTCGTATGAATAAATAATGCAAGGTCATAATCAGGTAGTATTAATCATATGTACAATATATTTTATGATGGATATCGTTTTACTCGGGGAGGATCAAATCTTTAACTGTTTTACTATGTCACACATTGTGACATAAGGCTTACAAATCGTTAGGTTTGATGCACCCCTATTTGGTAGGTCATATTTCAAAGAGAAAGGACCTATTTCGCCTGAATTTATACACACCAGGGCAGACTTCTAATATTTAAACCTTTACTATAAATAAATTCCAAGGTATCACAGCTCCATGGATGCACTGTAGGGTAATAAAATCTAATGTAGTATTCCTGAACATGTCACCAAATTATGGATGTCTTACAATGGATTAAAACTGCAGTTTGAATGAATGGAATTGACACATTTTGAAATGTTTGCCAAAAACAAAAATTAATGAGACGGACACTCTAAACCAAAAGCAAAATTCGTTCGGAAGAAAAGATATGCATTGTCTTTCAGATAAATACTGTTTATTTTGGTGTTTCGGTCCAAAAATTAACAAAAAGTTGAATTATTTTATCAAAACCTTCTCAATGGATAGTACTAGCTAACATTTTGATGGGATCCTTAAATGTAAAATCGTTGAAAAATATCATCAATTCTCTATCGGTTTCAACACATTTTTGATTTTGTCCACGTGAGAGAAGTCTAGTCTTGTAGAAACAGGGATGGTCCGTGTTGAGAGTGCCACGCTTTATGCTTTTTAGCCCCCTAATTAGAATTTACAGAAACTTTTTCAGAATGTTAACCATGTACTGCCATTGTGCAGTCTGTTTTTTGGTTTTTTTTATTTGTTTTATCCATTTAAAAAAAAAATGGAAAAGGGGGAGGGGGGGTCCTTAGCAAATCGTAGACCTTTCCATACCTGGATGAATGAGGGTATCATTATGTCAGCTTTGAACTCAGTACCTCTAGTTTGTTAATGTTTAATCATAGTATATACCCTGGGGTTAAAGCCGCTGTTGTGTATTTCATATAGGGTTTTATCTTAAATTTCATTTTTCTGTATCGGTAATTTTGGATTTCAAATCGGCGCTATTTTCAAAAATTTCTTGAAAACCCAATATATCACCATCCATATACAATATTTTTCTATTCACTGAAGTTGTTTCAATATTGATATGTACCACCAAATGCATTTTGCATATATATTAGCATGCATTTCCAATAGCGTCCTTTGATAAACACGCGTTTAAGCTGACGATCGTTTTTGATTCGTAAAATTTTCCTCTGGGTCTGGTAAAAAGACCCATTGCTAATGGAAATTACTTCATTATGTCCATAACTGATAATAATATATTTTTTTATAACCATTATATCGTCATTTGAACATAATATTAATCCAGACTGTTAACGGTTTTCAAGAAATAGCATATAACAAGTTTATTTCGCAAATTTTCAATTTTTAACTCATTAAGTTCCTTCCGCGATGGATTGTGATAATTTGGATTTTTATTCAGCACCATCATGGATAAGAATTTGATTTGTGTTTAGTCATCTTAACCATCGTCGATCGTCAGAAATAAACCACAAATTAGAAGTAACCGCACCCCACAAAGGATGATTCAGACCATGTTTTTTTCTAAATTGGCCAGGTGTGTTAATGGAAAAAGATAATTGTTAACTACAGAAAGGATGCTAAAAACACTGAATTACCATATTTATATTGAAATATCATATGATATATTGGTATACACATCAAAGAGAAATTCTGGTAAATAATCTTAGATGGCTTCTGGTTGACCTTATATTTAATCTGGTTATCCTGAAGGTTATCCGAACCTCTCGAATGAACATAACGTACATATATTTAAACATGTATTTGAATAATCATCATATAGAACGAAATAGTGTATTCACACATCATCATTATCAATTTTGCAGAAAATATTTTTGTCATCCCTTTTCACTAGCTCTAAAATGACGCATACAGTATTGCATGTCCATGTTATCATAGTACAGTTATGTAGTTTTATTTGGAGCGGATTTCTATGGTGGCCAGATGCGGCCATTTCGCCTTTTTGCGTTTTCGCGTTTTCTCCTTTCACTTTGCAAACGCGAAATCGGGAAATCGAGAAATCGGGAAATCGGGAAATCAAGAAATCGGGAAATAGAGAAATCGAGAAAGCGAAATCGAGAAATCGGGAAATCGAGAAAGCGAAAACGCGAAATCGAGAAAACTATTTCCCGTTTTCGCGTTTTCTCGTTTTCGCTTTCTTGATTTCTCGATTTCCCGATTTTCCGATGTCTCGATTTCTCGATTTCCCGATTTCCCGATTTCTCTTTTTCTCTTTTTCTCGATTTCTCGATTTCCCGATTTCCCGATTTCTCAAATTTCGCGTGAAAGTGAAAGGAGAAAACGCGAAAACGCGAAATGGCCGCATCCGGCCACCATAGATTTCCGATAAGTATGATTTACTTGTGTCCAATTCATTTTACTTTGAGTAAATAACATATGTTTAAACTATATACCACAGTGGTAGCAAAACGATTGTACATTTGTCAACCTCCATACGCTAATGTAAAAGGGGCATTAGCTATCAAATTCATAATCACCGATTTTACCTAAATCCTCATATTTGATTTATAACATACTAAATCGTATAATGTCTCAGCATTTCATGCGTAAATTAGACTAGACGATTTCTTCTAATTAACAATCGAGATGATATTCTAATACTCATGATGGTCATATGACCCGATATAAATATAAATAGACTGACACACACACACAGGCACGTGCATATTAATAAAGATTTTTCTATTTCTGTTTGATGTAAATAATCATTTTACTTGTATAAGAATGATTTTTTTGTAAGCCGAACTAGTCAATGATTGTATTTCCTGGTGGCTACCTTATTTCACTTTTCAATGTTGACATTCTTTTCTTTTTAATAACTGAACATTATTACCACATCCGTAACCCATTTCCAGCTAATGATAAAATTAAAGTTTCAAGAATACGGATTCGAATGAGGTTGAAGTATTTACTTTTTAATACATCAGCGATATTTTTAGCTTGTTTTGACAAAATTAAACCAAAATTACGGACACTCACTTCATTTGAGCTTTTGTGGATAGTTGTCTCATTGACAGTCATACCACATCTCCTTATTACTGTTAATAGCAAAATATTATTTCAATATTTCGCCTTTATAAATGTTTGAAATACAAAACAAAATCATATTTATTTTGTTTTGTTTGAATCGTAGATAATGCCCCTTTAAAGGACAGTTAGTAAACACAAAACTCATTAGATACAGTACCTTCTTGATTGGCTTCATAAATATTCAAATATAATACAGGACGAACTGGTGTCCATTCTCCAGGATCCATAGGACTACATGCTGTAAATCAAAAGAATACGCTTGTATATTTCGATTGACTGTTTTTAAATTGATACCGACAGCAACATATACCATGAAACAACGCGGTGCAAAGGGGATCAGACAAAGAAGCAATTTCTCACAAACTCAAAGGTAGGGGTCAAAACTTTGTTTTTGTCAGACAAGAATTTAGTACAGCCAGTAATAAATAAATAAATACAATATATGTAGGCCTTTAAAATCTCACAAAACCCTCTTAATTGGTTTTGTTTTTTTTCATCAGAATGATCTTTTGCCTGTCAAAACAAACTGATAGCTACAACATATTAATGTCCCTTTACTTCCTTATTCACTGACACTCCTCCTTTCTGAAAGTTTTTTTTTCGCCGCCTATGTATTATTGAAATGCAAATGAAGATACGAGTTTCAATTGTTTGTAAGAATTGCTATACTAAATGTCAAAAAAATATCAATTTAATCAAAGAATAACGAATATAAGTTCATGTTAAAAAAATACATAGGCAAGATAAATGAAATAAAAACACAAATGACTTACGTTCCTGTGCAAATACAATGGAAACTATTGCAACGAAGTTGAGTAGAATCGGTAACATTTTTAAATGTCAGAGTTATATTCGGTTGTCTTGGGTCCTAGTAAGTCAGTTCTTAAATGACTAAATTCTGTTTTTGTATTTCAAATTTAGAACAAGGAAGTCCTATTTCGTTATGGGTGCGTTCTACTAAATCCGGGATAAAAAGTTTAAACAAACTTTACTTTTTTTGTAGAATAATTTTATTGTAGAGACTCAACCAGGAAGCTTTGTAAAGTAAATATTCGTATAAAATTGTGACATTTAATGACCGATACAACCTTTTGGTGTGTGTGATCTCAAAAGTTTTATATGTTTGGCTATCGAAACTTTCGAGAATGCCCGATGAAGGTTTCGTTGGTGTCTTCTGGCTATTCCTACATTTTGTATTTTACTATTCTGGCTATTCCTACAAGGGAGATTATGGAAAGAACAATCGATGTTGTTATTGCAAAATATGTTGTTTTAGTCATTAGTGTCTAATTGGGTCACAGGTAAATTTACCTGTGGAAATTAAATAAAAAATAATTATTTAATTGAAATTTATGTAAAAAATGTAGTTTTTTTTTGTTTGAAAACATGTATCAAGTGTTATAATTAAGTGTTTCTAATATGAAATTTCTTGAAAATAAACTTATTTAAAAGAAAAAGTAGAAAAAGCATTTAAAAGTCTGTGAAAAAAAAACTATTTAAAAGAAAAGGTAGTTAAAGCATTTAATAGTAACCAACACTTTCAACTTTAGCTTCAAAGAATTTATTAATTTCATTATAATATCAAAAGTTGTAACGCAGATATTCCAAATATTTTTACAAAAATCTGCATGTGTTTATCTTTTGAAACAAAAAAGTTAAATATGTATATCCAAAGGATAGAAATGTCCAAGAAACCGAAACTATAGGTAAATGTCTAAAATTTCGACCCCATTTATCTCTAAACTAAGCACATGAAGGTATATTTTTATTACATATTGGAATTGACCAGGTGAAAAATAGCTTGTATGCAAATTTTCGTAAAAAAAAACTGTATCGTATGCCCTTAATGTCAATTTAGTGTACTTTTTGGTGCTTTGATTCAATGAATATGTAGTGTAACTCAAAATTTAGTGCTTTGTTTCAAAAAATAATTACTTCAATTTTAATATATTTATATTTCAATTGATATTATTTACTTGTATATATTATTAATGTTTTCACCAAAATAATTTCAATTGCTTGTGAATAACATTGTGCCGATAAATTCATATTGACTTTGCTTTCGAATATTATTTACAAAAAATGTGCTATAAAATTATTAAATACAATATTGTAATAGAAACTATTCTTTTTTTTAATAATAATTTCCACAAGATTTACCTGGATTTACCTTGATTCATTAGTTTAGTGTTGTTACAACATAATCCTACATAATACCATGGGTTGTTTACATAAAAATTCTGGGAACTCCAACATAAAATTTTACTATTTTACCTATAAAATTCAAAATGTAGGAATAGCCAGAATAAACCGTTTCGTTATGCACACGAAAATCATGTCATACGTATTTATAAAGATCTATGCATGCTGAAATAAAAGTGATGTGTAAAAACTCATCTAAGATACCAGGTTTACAATTTTGTACTCTCGAATCATAAAAAGTTAAAAGGTCAAATACATTACGAAATTGAAGAGCACTGAGGACAAAAAAATCCGAAAGGTTTGGCCAAATACAGCTTAGGTAATCTATTCCTGGTGTAGAAAATCCTTAGTTTTTCAAACAATTCAAAGTTTTGTTAACAGTTAATTTATAGATATGACAATATCAATGATATTTGTATTTTAACCCCTGTTGAAAAAGTGGGACAATATATATGCAGTATAAGAACAGATCCTTGGCTGTTCGTTGATACCTTTGGTTCCATCCACTTTAAAGAAAATTAAAACATTTCAAATATCTAATGGCATTGTGTAGTTTGTTTGTCACTGTTGATTTCATATGCGTCATACAGAAATACATGGAATTATTTTTCAAGAGTCCATGCCATCGGCAACTCTTTCTTAACAAGTGAAAAGATTTCCTTGAAATTTTATGATTTATACCGTATTGTCTAATGGCTTTGGAAGCATATTAACACTATGTACCATAATATTGTTGCAGAAGGATTCAATCATAGCAAAGAAGGAGTACTGCTTTAGAATAATCATATCAATGGGCTGGAGTGATTATACCTGAGTTGTTTAAATTATCACTGTTTACAATAGTAAGTGTCAGGTAATGGTATTAGTTTCCTGAGTTCCAAGAATGTAATAATAATTGAATTTGGGGAATGGTGCATTGTTGTTGATGTTCAAGAACTACATGTGTCTAATAAGTATTTGCTACGTTTTAATGGTTCATACTGACGTAAAATGCATCAAGACGTTTTTGTGTTGTTTACAGTCCACGTAGATCTAATTACATTTTTAACCTGAGGTGAATCTGGCATGTGGTCATCTTTTATGTTATTGTCTAGTTGTTTATTTCTTTGTTTGAAGTTTGTACTACTGATAATTAACAAAAATGATATCATGAATTACCAGAAATATTTGACCGCACAAAAGACCACATAACCACAAAAACACGTCTCGTTAAAAAATAAAGACGTACAAAAAACATAAAACAACACATGTTCAATATAGACTTTATATTACTTGGTACATGCATATAATGTGGTGGTGTTAAACTTGCGTACAAACCGCTCCTTTTGATTAACTAGACCATATGTCGTAAAGGTATCACATGTTGATACAATACAATACAATACAATACAATATGCGTTTATTCCAATTAAGGTCCCTCAGGGGCCAATGACAAAGATACAATCATAATTCATTTATACAAACAAGACAGTAGAAGAATACAATGTATAATACCGGTGTGGTAATAACAAAAACAACATAAGAAGATTTTAAATGTTGAGTTTTCAGCAATAAAGATGTTTGCGGCAGTGTGACCCGAGAGGAGATTGCTTAAGAATCATATGCATATGAATCGCCCCGCATCTAAACCAACAAAGCCAACAAGAAGTAATACATAATAGATAAATAGGGGTATCAACAGGATGACCACTAATTTGAACAAGGAAAAAAAAAGACAGCATATGTATTTAAAAACCGGATGTGGGGTCAAAGTTGTTGGTTAGTTGATTGATGCTTGCTTAACGTTCGGTGCAAAGTATTTTATTCTTGTTTAATAGAATAACAAATTATCAATTACAACAATACGTTGGTTCTGCAAGGTATGTCGAGCGGGATGAAAGTTGGGAATGTTGGACTCCCATCGGAAAATGAGAATATAGAATAGAGAATGGAAACGGGGAATGTGTAAAGGAGACAATAGCCCGACCAAAGAGCAGAAAACTGCCCAAGATCACCGATGGGTCTTCAATGGAGCGATCGTGGTAGCGTGTTCGCCTCGAGTGCGGGAGGTCGTGGGTTCGAACCCCGGCCGGGTCAAACCAAAGACTTGAAAATTGATATTTGCTGCTTCTCCGCTAAGCACGCGGCATTAAGGAGTAAGAGCAAAGACTGGTTGGCTCGGAGTCAGAATAATGTGTCCGGGTAAGGTGATATGTCTTCCTGCGGACTGTTACCTTGTGAACTAGCATGTTAAAAAATCCGGCTCAGCGTGACGGTCTAGTACAAAGCAGGGTTGATATTCATATGACATTAACATGTTCTCGTCCGGAATTTGCATATTAATTTGCCGCTGGACGTTTAGCAGCCATCCATCATCATCAATGGAGCGATAAAATCCCGCATAATAGCCATTGCAACAATTCTTGCCAAAGGGTGCCCGTTTAGGTATATGCTTGGTACATTAAGTCCGAGTTGGGGACTTCGACTCCAAGATTCACAGTTGAATTTAAACTAAAATGATTATCATGTACGCTCTTTAAAACCCAGATTAACCAAATACTTCATTCGAAACTGCCTGTATCAAATCAGGACTTAGATTACGTTTTTGTCTCTTTTTCGTTGCCATTGATTTTTACATCGGATGACCGTGAGGGCATTCCGGTGTATTGTTGCCACAGCCATTTCTACCCACGTGACTTTCGTTTTTGACTGATAACCGAACGCAAAATAACATTCCTTATCGCTTGTTATATATCAGTTTCATCAATAAATATTCATGAAAATAATTTTTGAAAATGTTTTGTCGTGAGAAATATATATATCAATAACAAATCAAGAATACCGAAAATTTGTGTTAACGCATGCGGAAAAATATCTCGAGAACGTTTTGCGGGAAAATATGAATGCCTACTCCAATCCAATCTATTAGAAAAATCGAATTATTACAGAAGAGTGTCCACCATCAAATCTTCCAGTTGAAAAAAGTAGAGCATAATTTTATTTTTACTATTTTTCATCTCATTTATTGATTTGAAATTAGTGTATTACATAGTTTTAGAATGAAAATTTTTGGATAAATATCTTTAACAAAAGTTTCTTTGAAAGAATAAAACCGGTCATTGAATTCACAGTAGTTGTCACAACACTTGAATAGCGACTCAACGGTAATGAGTAAACATATGACGAAAACGTATTTTTCCTTTCACTAAAATCACTTCCAGGAATCAATGAAAAGGTTTCAGGTTCTGATGGTCCATAGGGTCAATTTATTAGTAAAAGTATGAAGTAAGATTTAGATGATCTTTAACTGATTGGTATGGCTTTTTATGTCATACTCTAAAATAAGAACAAATCAGTGTATTACATATTTGTGTTAGCTAGAATACTAAAAGTCTGTTATAAATGGTATCCATTGAAATAGTACATAGTAATGTGAATAATCTCTGTAGAACTCAACAGCATAAGGTATTCGTCTAAGTAAGTCTGACCTATCTGTACCCTGCACTGTTAAGTTATAATTTGAATGACCACGCCAATGATTTTGACAAACGTATCTTTGTCATAATCATTGGTGTGGTTTTTCAAATTAGTATAGATTTCGTAATTTCATTTTGATATTATATTTGAGACGACTAAAAATAATTCAGTGTAGAAAAATCATATGCAATCAATTTTTAAAGACCGCACACCTATTGCATTGATATTTATTTGGTTGAGTGCATCTGTTAGTAAATAATATGACATTTTCCATTTAAGTTAATCAATTGTGCTACTTAAGGAAGAGTTAGTTACAAGTAGTATGACGAATATATATATTCATATCATTCCATACCCGCAGCTGTTATCCACAGAGCGAGGAGTCAAAATGTGTGACAAACATTAACCCCAGACTGTATCTACTTGTTAACTGTAAAAAAAAAGTCCATTTATCAGTAAAATACAGAAAAATGAAAATAATTTTTTTCAAACTTTTGCTTTGGATACTGTATTTTGGTCATTAACAAGCGTCTGTCCAAATTTCATAAAATTCCGTGAAGGTTTGATAAAGTTATTGATGACTGAAAAACTTTAACCTCAGCCTGAATCTGATCGTAAACTGTAAAAAAAACTAAGTCCATTTACCAATAAAATACGAAAAAACGAAAATAAATAAGTCTTATTGAGTCACAGCATGTCTAGACTCTGAAATCATTTAAATGTTAATACTATTTGATCTTAGTTTATGATAATCGATATTTACAACAAAATGAAATGGTGGTGAACACATTAGCAAATTAATATATTGAATATATATATGTAACTATATTTCATTGCATTTTGTAAATCTAAACTGAATGTGCCAATAACGTCACAACTCCATGTATTTGTAGAGGATAAGTATTTCCAAAAATCACAAGAAATACCGCGAAGTAAAAATTGACTGGTACATTGAATATTAAGCGGCAAATATTACATGCATATTCTAAACGATATCATAGACATGCATTTTCAAAATATTCTGCTTTGTACTAGACAGACACATTGAGTGATTTTTTGTTTAAAATTCGTATCTGCATATGTGACTCACAGATAGCAAGAAGACGTGTTATACTACTCTGACACGCCATGCTGACTCCGAAGACAAACTTTGCCGTTGGTTTCAAATGATGACTGTTTGGTGAAGATGCAGCATCTACCAATTTGAAAGTGTTTCGTTTGTTCCTCAAGAACACCGAAATGGTAAACTACAAAAGAAGAAAAAGGCAAAAACCTTATTATAAGTTAAACTATGATGGTAGAAGAAGAGTATCAAGCTTGTGTTTGTATTTAAAGCCCTACATAAAAGTGATAAGAAAAAAACAGGAATACTGAAGATGAAATTTGTATGAAAACGTTGAAAGTTAAATAAATGAACCTTATTGTACATGTGACATCATAAAATGATCACTGATACATTAATTTTCAACAATAAACATATTTTGACACTGTTTTAACTATGATTCATTGATTTAACTACTGTGTATCATCGTCACATATTTCTCAACTTACGTATAAAAGAATGATTTTATATATGGTGTGGAACATTATTTTTGATGAGTTGTAAATAATTTTCAGATCCTTAGGACATGGCGTTCTATTTGACAATACTTTTAATTTTTCATACATTCTTGACATGGAATTTTTCATCAATATCTAATAACAAGTGGGAGTATCTTTTGAAATTTTCACTTTGCAAGAAATGCCTGCAGAAACCTGTTTCGACATTAGAATATTAAACAGCGTTAAAAAAGACAATCCATTCCTCAGTTAGAATATAAAATGTAACTTCGTCTGACAGTAAAACCCTTCGCTAAAGGGACGAATGTTCGGATACAGGGATGTATAACTATGCAGTCACATCTTATTCATAGGCGAAGTTAATCCCAATTCATAACAGCGAATGTCTTCCTTAATTTTCTTTTGTCGTCATTATTGCAAAAATACGAATCCTTCTAAAATACTATAACATCGCAGCTGAGTCCATGGGCATTTACAGAATATCTGAATTTTGATAAAATTGTCTCGGTTTGTACCGTACCATTTATAAATAAAAAAAAATATAAAGAAACTAACTCCTTAGGCAAAGTTGACCTTAGATGTATTTGGCTATTTTTTTTTTGGGGGGGGGGGCCTTTTTGGTCATATAGGCCTTCAACTGTTTATCATTGGCTTTCAAGGATTCGGCTTTGATCGTTCCTGATGAAGGTAAGCCCTTAAAAGCGATTTGGACGCATTAATTTGATACAGTATTGTTTTCATTTTTTACCAAAAGTGTTTGAAGGTTTTCATTTTTTACCAAGAGTGTTTGAAGATTTATATTCACGAGTTTGATATAACAAATGTTTGATTGACTTTCCTCAATTTAACAGCAAAAACAAATCATGGTATGGTATAAGGAATATGATTTAGCTAGTATTTATTTTATTTACTTTAAGCTGAGCTTCTGAATAATTTTCGTCCTCCAAATAAAGGTTGAAATTTTTTTTTTTATTGAGTAAATTTCTTTAAGAATGTAATCTATTTTGTTCTCTAATTAAGTGTTTGCCTGTTTTTGTTTTTATCGTATGCAATATTCAATGATTATTCGGTTGCACTTAATAATTCTACTAAATACTTCGAAGTTTGTTGATCTTTTTAGCGCATCTACTACCCCATTGAATTTGATTTACAGAAATTGACAATGGGATCTATTGAGAACTAAACTTTACAATAATAGAGATGATTCGAGTTTTCCAATTGTGAACTTTTCATTTCTATGTAGCAACTTTCCAGCAGCACCTGTATGCGGAGTATATATCTCCCAGTTGATGCGACATTCCAGTTCTTCTCCATGGATGATTGCTGCTTACAAGGAACCAAGGGTTTCTAATGGTAAAGTCATCCCTTCGAAAGTTTTATGAACTTCATCATTGATTGGTTGACTGTTAAGAATATTTGTGTGACAGATGACCACGAATATGCTTCAATTGTCGTAGCTCAAATCTTGTCCTCTTTCCTCAGTTATGTCATCACCGAATGTAACTTGCCGTGAGCAACACGACGGGTGTCACTAATTGAGCAGAATTACACGAGGTCATTCCCGATTTGTGATGGAGTTCTTGTTGCTCATTCTTACATTTATATGTAATATTTGTGGACTAATATTCGTCTTTACATCCTTTTCTTTTTTTATCATGATATTGTCTGTTTTTCTTCAACTTAGAGAATGGAAACGGGGTAATGTATCTAAGAGACAATAACTCTACCACAGAGTAGAAAAGTATATTCTGCCCCCTTTTTGCAAGAACAAAAAATTGCTGATTTTGTAGTAGCAGGGATCCAAAGTGCATACTTTATTACTTTGCGTGATACTGAATAATTTTGATTCTCCCCAGCCATCAACAATAATAAGAATAACATAAAATTTTCATAAATGTGACAATTTCAACAATCATCAATAAACTTTAACCATGCAGCATATTTCGTAAGATCTTGATAGGCCAATTTTTTAGTTCTTTTACAATATTGTTGTGTTGAATATCATTTCAAAATGTTTTACGTTTTCCTTATGTTGTGGAATCAAAGATGAATAAACCTAGTCTATAGTAGAATAAACCTAGTCTATAGTGGAATAAACCTAGTCTATAGTAGAATAAACCTAGTCTATAGTAGAATAAACCTAGTCTGTAGTAGAATAAACCTAGTCTATAGTAGAATAAACCTAGTCTATAGCAGAATAAACCTAGTCTATAGCAGAATAAACCTAGTCTTTAGTAGAATAAACGGTTGCATGTTTTGTCCTGGCTTGTACAAATATAATTTCACGTAATAGTGTTATACATATTATGTCACCTTGGTGATAATACTATATCTATATGATGTGAAAGTTTAAATTAGATCATTTTAAAATCTGATTATTTTTGTGTGTGTATTAAAACTTAAACTTGAACAAGCATAATCCGTAAAAGATTACTTCACATTCTTTAAGTAAAAGTTTAATGCATAATCTTTTGAATTAATGTTCACGCAACCAAAAGAGAAAAGGTAAACATTGGTCGATATCCCGTAGGTGGAATTTAAAAAGAAAATATATGAATAGGAATCTCTATATCTACCCATCGTAGAGTAGGCATGATGTTATGATAAGTTATGTAGGTTTTCTTTTCAGTGTATTCATTCAAGTGGAGAACTCTGTTTTCGTCCATTCGGGTGTGGTAAAATTAACCAGACCGTTCACTCCCTGTAGATGATTGTCGGGGATTAAAATAACGTACATGGATGCAAAAAAATTCTTTAACCTGAAATAGGGTAAGTTTTGATTTTGTTTCAGTTCTTCAACGGATTTCAATTCAACTCATTTTGTTGACATAAAATCAGATATTTTTAAAAGTGCATTTAGATGATTAAAATGTTATTGATTCAGAACTAGTTTTCAAACTTAATGGGAAAGAATGTATATAATGTATTAATTCACGACACAAGGTACAAGTGAAAATTCACCTGTAAAATATGTTGGAGGGAAATCTAAAATGTCTCAGATGTGCGATGTCCGTCAATATTATTGGAGAGAGCGGATATTAGTGCCACTCTGTCATATGATGTAAAGAACTGGAGATAAAAAAGAAAAGCCGCTAAAATACTGTTAAACATCAAGGTTTGGTGCAAGTTCTTAGTTACCCAGCTACAACGGTATAAATGTGCATTAGAAATGAATTAAATAATTAGTATTAGAAGATATTAGATTAACTGATACATAAAGAAATACTTGTGAAATTGGAAGTTTTTGAATTTGAAATGTACCCTTGGGAGAATGTAAAATAAAAATCTGTAGACTTCAGATAGACAGAAATGGTTATCATGAATTCATACTTCATATTTACATATTTAAATGGCAAAAGGTAATATTGGAAGGGCTTTCGTACATCTTAAGTCAAGGGCATACAGATCTTAATTGGGATGAATAGTACATAAAAAGGATTTATATTAAAAAAAAACGAACATAAAGCTCTAAAAAGACTACTAAATACTTGGTCAATATGGACAACAGCGATGTTAAGTCAAAGGGCAAGAAATATACAAATAAATGTTATTTAACGAATATATATAATTTACCATAAGAAGGGTTTATTTGATATTCGGGTGGGGGGGGGCATTTTTACAGATTGACCATTTATTTTCATCTGTTGCTTGGCATGCTTATCGCGAAAATTTATTTTCACTTTTGTACACACTATCCTGTATTTTATGTTGCAGAATATTCATTTACATCCTGTCTTGTGCAAAGTCATTTTTTTTCACTCATTTATACACGTGTGTCACACACTCTTTAATACCTTGAATTTACTTATTCTTGGAAACTTGCATTGTTGTTTCAATGATATCTGAACGTGATCTTTTTCCTTAGGGGATATAGAGCTTGACATGGTATGGACACTTGTCTTTTGACGTTACATTGACCTCTATATGTCCGTTTTGGGTGAATTGCGTTGTTTAGTGTGTACTAGTAATTTAATTGGTGTATTTTCGACAAGTTATTTTATTTAAAAAATGCCTAGATTTTCTTGCTATTGAAGTATTTAGACTTGAATTATCTGTCATTGTTCAAAGTACAAATTGAAATTTCTTCGTATTTAAAACTTGTCAAAATTGTTACCACAGTGTGTTTTGTGCGTAAAACTGGACATACCCTTACCGTTTTAAAGCTAGAACACATTAATTTCTAAAAATCCGTTTGTGTTATCCTCTTTGCCAATTTGTATTTTTTTTAATGCATACAATTGAACTTTAACCAATTACAATATTTTTGTAAACGTTTACTGGGAAATGGTGTACAAGTAATCATTTAGTTAAATCAGACATTTTTTTTCTACTGATCGTATTGGTCATGTAACTACCGAAGCAAACAGGTTACATAGTTTAATAATAAAATACATTTCTTCATCTCATACAATTTATGAATTTTATAAGGTTGCCTGGTTCATATTTTCCCCTTTGTTGGCCAACTGCACAAGTGCGGTAGGCGTTTAACTGACAAAGGTAACAAACATATTACTTCATTTTCGTTTGTTAAAACCGGTTTTATTTGTTGAATACGTCTGTTCAGTTTGTATGTTAAAAAATGTGTATAAATCTTTATTTGATTGAAAATTTTTAACGGCATTTTATTGAACAGTTAGTGTAAATGAATTTAAAATCATATAGGATCTATACAGCACCCTACTGATTTATAACTCTACATTTTTTATTTCATGTTTTCAAATAATTCTAGTCCTCTCCAATAAATAAAATATTGATTTGTTCACGCCCACTAGAGTTTCCAAATCTCACATCTCATACAGTCTGATATCGTAACAGCAGTCTCTATATATCGTTGATGTAAACGTCTATTAGAAATAGAGGAAAGCTATCAAAGGGATAATTAAAGACTGTAATAGGCACAAAGTGAATGATTCGTCTATTTGGGTTGTTGATAACGTGTATATGGTGAATCACTCGGTCTATCTTGGATGTTGATTATACAGTGGGTCAGACTGGTTCAATGAATACAGTGATTGCATGATTGATTTAATGCTGTTTACTTTACGTCCAGTGGAAAATATTTCATGCATATTTAGGACGAAAACAGAGTAATAATAAATCAAAAAGTATTGTATCTGCAAAGTGAACCGACCGTAATGAAGGTAGACTTCCACTCGAAAAACATGGTATATGCTGGGTAGGGACAGAAATTATGCCTTGCAACCTACGGACCCCTCACAGAGTTGTTTCAACCCGTTCGTATATGCACAGAGAGCATCGAACGGACGTGACTATGTATTTATACATCTCGCACAGCCAAACGGACGCTCGCCTTTAGAATGGGTTTTAAATGGACAAACACAAAAATGAATGCACATAAAGAGTGCAAAGCGTGGAATATTTTTATTATTTTCAACAAATAACTATATGTCGTTTAATGATTCCTATTACTATTACTAACGATTATAGTATTGATAAGTGTATCTTAAGAACCGTTATATGTTTGATTTGAACTTGAGGAATGGAGCTGAGATTCCTTGTCCTAGTTATTGGCGTTACTTTTGGCCCTTTTCATTTATATCTGCTCTTCAACGGTTGTATTGGGTTTTGGAATTTTGAAACATTTTACCAAAAGACATAACTGAAAAGACTTTAGCAACTGGTGCAGTAAAATTGGTACCATTTTATGTTATTACCTCCACTGGTTCGATACCTCTGCTGGTGGACTGTTATTTCCCGTGGACATCACCAGCCCAGAAGCCAAGTCCTGGCATGGAAATACGAATATGTTTGTAAAACTTAAAAAATCATTTGACATTAAGGAATGTATCTCCCTGATGCAAAGCTCTGATCCCTTGTCCCGGTTCGGCTATACTTTTTGTCTTTATTGTTATGTCTACTCGTCAACGTGTGTATATTAGGCTTTGGATTTTCAAGCATTATGCCCTCGAGGTCTACTAAAGAGACAATAATTGTTGAATTGCCGACAGCTGGTATAGAAAAAGTGGCACCGTTTTATGTTATTATTAAGCATATTTTACTCATATTTGTAAATACTTGGCAAAACGGGCAAGGATGCCATTGAAAATTTTGTTAGGTTTTTCAAATCTCAGTTTTAGGACACTCGTGATAAAATGCTTTTTGCAACATGTGTTTTCCTTTGAGTAATATTGGTCACATGTTTTTGAGGGGTAGAAAGTAAAATACACAAAAGCTCATCAAACGAATGCAGATTATTTCTAGTGTATGGGTAGCCAACTTAAGTACAGAACTGTAATATAGTTCTGGATACGATCATGCTATACCAAAGCAAAGAGATTGAGTTATCACGAGTGTCACATCGAAGCTGACAAACCTGAAAATGAAGACAGTAGAGGTTCGACGACAGGCATGCCTTACCCGCCATATCATTACAAATCGTTAAGACCGCAAACGGGATTTTTGACAGAATGAAAGTGTTTCAAAACTGCAGTAAACCAGTCCGCGATAAACAGTGAACAAAGAGATTTTAAGGTTGTCCTTCCTCATAATCCTGATGGAGAGGTTTATGAGTTAAGAGAGCTTTTTTTAAATAATAAAAAAGGATACGTTGTAGTATATTTATCATTCAATATAATGAAAGGGCTAGTTTATCACGTGTTAGAGGGTAAAAATGTAACCTCAAAGCACTGGACATTACGGATATTTAAATATTACATACACGTTGATTTAAAATAGACCATCAAAATCCCTTGAAGTCGAAAGAGTGAAAAATATTAAGTAGCCACTACTACCAGTAATGTCAGAAATAAAGACTGTCACGCTATTATTAAGAGAATATCGTTTTGAAATAATGATAGAGAATATGTTGGGGCATATTTTTTATTTATTATTCGATGTAATGGTATGGCTATCTTAAAACGTGTTGGAGGGTAAAAATTTAACCTCAAAGCACTGGACATTACAGATATTTAAATAGAACGTACACGTTAAATAGACCGTCAAATCCCTTGAAATCTAAAGAGTGAAAAACAATATTAAGTAGCCACCACTACTACTACCAGTGAGGTCAGAAAATAAGGCTGTAACAATATTATTCTTAAGAAATGAATGGATGACTTGAGAATTCGAAGCCATAAAACACATCAAACCATAATTGGTAAGTTTGTACTACATGGTCAACAATTTTGTCTTTAAGATGAAATATTATAGAGTAGAACTGCTGCATACTTCAAGTAACTATTGCTTATTGTATCTTGGTATATTTTAAGAAATAAATTCTATATATAATTCGATTGGTCTGCCGGAATGTCCAAATTAATAACTGTTTCGTTGAACCTAATGATGTCTAGTGAAAATTGCCGACATCGTATTAATCTGTTTATTTTTGCACAGAAACTTATCTTTCTTGCAAGTTCAAAAATAAACAAGTAATACCAAATCGTGTTACTAGCAGTTGGTGAAAGCTAACAATGGATGAGTTAGAGAAAGGATTAGTGTCATGTCTAAACATCTCAGTTCTTGTTTGATCCAAACAAAATACGTCAAACTGAATTATCGGATATCTTAGTCCTTATTTGATCCAAACAAAATATGTCAAACTCAATTATCGGATATCTCAGTGATAATTAGTAATCTGCGAAAACACAACTAAACTGTTACCTTTAATAATTGTTTGTAAAGGGACAAACAATAAATTTTATAATTAATATATGAAAATGAGATTAAAAGAATATTCCAATCATTTATTTGGCAATATTTGATGCGCTTTCAAAGATGAACAATTTTCTTACAACCGAATTTAATACTAAATTCACTTCATTTCAGTCGTCAAGGGTCAAATGGCAAGATTATTTAATTTCAGCCCTTAGGTCAGGATATTCATTTTCAAAATTCTATCCTCCCCCAAAAAATCAAATGGTCGTTCCCTTATTGAAAAACTAAGAATGTATATATTCATTTTCAACACATGATTTTTTCCCGCGGCTTCTCTTTGTGTGAACATTTTTTTAAAAACTTTTGTACACAGTTATTTCCTGCATTTCGTGTTGCAGAGTATTAATTTTTAATCGGTTTTTAGCAATATGTATTTTCAGCTCTTATCAGGTCAGGATATTAATTTTCAAAATCCTCTTGCACCACTCCCCCGAAAATTTGTCGTCCCATAAGTGAAAAACTTAGTGTCATCGTAATTGGTATAACTTTAAAGAAAAATTCAGATATGTTGCTGACCTCCTTGTTAGTATCCTTATATGAGACAACGTCCCTGTTTAAGTAGCTTTCGTACAATCATATGAACCTTGCTTTGTATTAGACAGCCACACTTAGCCAGATTTTTAAAGTGCTAGTTCACATTAATCTAACCTTAAACCGTCGGTATCTTCTACTTCGGATGCATGAAATTAATAATGCGTCATTGTCATTTCCTAGCACTGGGTCGATTGCTGGTGGACTGTTATTTCCCGAGGGTGTCATAAACTCAGTAGTCAGTGCTTCGGTATTGACATGATTTTTAACAAACTTTTTTAATTCATCTGATAACTTGATTCAGATATTATTAAGAAACTAAGTTTCCAACTCACTAAGGCAAAGTTTGAAACTAGTATTTTTATGTCCCTGTTGGTCATAGAGCTATTCACGTGTCTAGGCCTTATAATATACATCATCTTTGGCTTTTTTAATGCTTGGGTTTGAGCGTTATTGATGAAGGACAAGGTAAATTAAGAACAGCAGTTCAGACGCACACAATCAATAAAGGGTTAATTTTCTTTTCTCCTAAATGCCGCGTGCTTAGGTATAAGAAGCAGTAAATATTCATTTCAAAGTGTTTGGTTTGACCGGCCGGGAATCTAACCAATGATCGTCATCAATCGAGACAAACATGTTACCACAAAACCATTGAGTTGTTTCTACAAAACGAGAAATTGGGAAGTAAAATCCGTGTAGATGAGTGCCACGCTCTCTGCGCTCTGGAACCATAGTAACCAACGCTAAGCGGTGGGGTGTAGGAGGCCTGTTACAGAGCAAAATTTCTGACTTTATCGAACATACCCTCATTTTCTAGTGGCAGTCCTAATTTCCCGTCCAACATTGCAGATCATACATATTGCATTAACCTAATTTTTTTTCTCACTTAACATGCATGAAATATTTCCCACTGGACGTTAAACAAACAATAATCAATCAATCAAGCTATTGTTCAGTCCTCATTTTGTAATTACTGAATGTTTTACATAAAATTTTGTTGACTCTGACGTTTTACCTGCAGATAACGTCAAAGACTCATGAAAACGGAGTTTGGTGGCATTAAACCCACCACGAAAAAGGAGAGTGTAATATATTAGGTTTAATACAGCTAAACTTTCAAACAAACTAAACTATGATCCATTTCAAAGTATTATTACTTTGAATAGATCGTTTCACCAAATAAAATAAGAACATAACGCCAGGACGAATAAAGCTTTTAGTGTGACCATGCAGTGGCTCTATATGTAAGCACGTATACGTTTTGATTAAGTGTAGACACTTCATTTCTAGTATCAAGCCATAAATGATACGATATAGATAAATATACAGTATTGTCCATAAATATGCGGAATTAAAAATTCAGTTAATGTATAATGATTGCAGAATCTAAGTTACTATTTACAAACATTTTTTTTAACAAGATAGTCGCAAACCTCAACATGTGACAAAGAATTCCATCGTGTATAAATTTTTAACAAACACTGCTCTAGAATCAGTCAATATGCATGATACACTATCGGCCTTGATATTCATTGATTTCAAACTAGTATATAGTTGAAATTAAGCTACCTGGCTTTTTTTTCCAGGAATATTAATTAATGATAACTCAATATATCTTCATAGATGAATATCTATAATAAAATTGTTGATCGTTTTAATAATTTATCATTTATGAAATTTTACAACGTCACAATTTGGTTATACAATATGTTCATGATCAAAATTGAAATTTGGATAAATCTTATACCAATCAATTGCTTTTATGGTTGAGAATTTGTGTAATATATACTAGAGCTGTAGTTCACCAGTCTGTTAGAGAGGGCATCCAATCGTTACTTTCCGCATGGTTTCAGAAAGAAAAGTGTTCACTTTTTTTAGAGTAAGATCTGGTAAATATTTTTTTTACCATTTACCAAATGTCATAATAAAGTGTTGGGTGCATTTTTACTTAATGTAACAGAGTTTATGGTATTATACAGTGTTTACACAGAGATCAATTGAGCAAGCTGTCCACCTAAGACAGTTTTCATATTGCATTATACATATCTTTGTAAGAAATGAATAGCTACTCAATTTCTTTTTAAAAAAATACATCTAAATTTGGAGAAAGTAAATAAGATCTAATACGTTATAGGTATACTTAATACCACGTGCTATTAAATGGCAAATACATAATGTTTTGATCAATTAGCAGGAATTCTGAAATCGATTTTTCCACCTGTAATTATTCAACCATACCACATATGTGTACCGGGTATCTCACATTATCTACAAGTAGTCATACTCTGTCATGTGTAACAATGGATTTTCTGAAGGAATAAACATAACAAATGTCATATAAGGTAATGTTTTCTTTGTTTAATTACTTTTGTTCGTTTATTTTTCTCCAAAGTTTGCTTTGCACACATGTTATTGAGGTATACATACAAGTGTTAATTTTTAGCAGAGACATATATAGAGACATATAATATATGTCTCTGTTTCTAGGTAGACAATATAGTTGTGCTTCTTAGCAGAAATCTTGACAAATTCCCACGAGATTTTGTCCCAGTTCATTAAAGTATAAATGTTGTTTTCAAATGATTAATGAACTGTGCGCCTTTTGGAGCTTATACCACAACAGTTATTCTAGTTTCATTATGTTGGGATATTGCTCCTTAGAAATGGAAGTTGAAATGCCATATACATACAAGTTTCGTGTTCAAAATGCTTAATGGACTAAGGGTTCTTAATGTAGGTCATTGAGACCAAATTTTCCCGGGACACTAAGTAGCAAGGTCAAATGGACACACATCACGATAACATTTAGCTAACTAATTGTAACATTTTACACACATGATATTAGCAGAGACATATTGTATTATATGTCTCTGTTATTAGTCAGATATGTTCGTGATGATTTTTCTTCGCAAATGAAATTGCAATAAATGCTGGAAAGGCATGGCCTTTAAAGGTATTAAATGATGAACACTTATAGTAAGCATTTATTCATCCACTATAATTTCCGGTATTTAATGTATGCAAGATAGTAAACTGACTTCTCTGAAGTTGCAATCTTATGTTAAAAATAGTTAACTTGACAAAGACTGTCGAATTATTAAGTAAAATTAAACTTTGCATTACTTATACGATTTTGTCATAGTTGTCTTCGGGATATGTTACACAGTCACATGGTTCTGCAAAATATTTTACGCAGATAGACATTATCTAAAAATAAAACTTTCTGCACCATGAAGCAATCATCCTAGATCAATTTGAGTCACGATTTAATAGATATGACATTTAACTGTGATGGTTGCTCCTTATTTTTACTTTTAAAATAATGAAAGTCAATGTAATACTTCTTAATCACCCCCGGTATTTGGTGGGACTCGTGTTGCTCGGTCTATAGTTTTCTTTGTTGTGTTTTGTGTATTGTTGTTTGTCTTTTCGTCGTTTTTCGTTTTTTTGCCATGGCGTTGTCAGTCTGTTTTCGACTTATGAGTTGTTGAATATCCCTTTGGTATCTTTTGCCTCACTTTTCCATTATACAGTTTAATGATAAAACATTGATAGTGACAGTTTTTTTACAATAGAAAAACAAAGGATATCACATCATAGTTAGTAATCGACAAATAAGAAACGCTATGTATACAAATCAATATAGGATTAAACAGTTAAATAATATAATTTCGGCAGTTTTAGTGATAATAATCGTATCAAGGAAATAATATGTAAACAGCAGTTTTAATTAAAGACGGAAATATGTGAGTTGGGATTTTTACGTTCGCATATCCTTTGTATTTTCCATCGTTTCAACATCTTTTGTTAGCTCACTTGGTGATAAGGCCATGTTAAATATTGCCATCACTTGACGTCCGTCGTCGTTGTCAACTTTTTCAAAGACTTCTCCTTTTAAACTACTGAACCAATTTTAACCATATTTGGGGGAATAATCCTAAGGGTATTTAGTATAAAGTTTGTGTTTTTTATTTCGGTCAGTCAACAAACATGGTTACAGAATATCTGACAGGGGTAAATATGCACAGACTGTCAAGATCTACCTACCTCCTATTTTTACCAAATAATCTTGTAGTATGTTTTCAATTTATTTTTTGACAAAAATGCCAGGTGAGCGATACAGGTTCCTGAGATACTCTTATTTAACTTTCTCGGACTTTTACCTAACTAATCACGCGTCCCATTCAAGGCATGCGATCTCCTTGATATCAAGTCAATTCAGCTCCATTCTCTCTTTTATTATTTGGTTTGTTCATATGCACAACTTCTTTTTTTTTATTTACCAGAAATTTGAGTGGTGCATTCTATTGTTCTGCAGATATCTGTTTTTATAGTTATATTCGGTGGTCCAGTAGATAGGGATACCTTGACCGTTTGTACACCCCAACATATCAATATTTAAAAGTGGTGACCCAGCTTATGATTTCATTTAGGTTGATAAATGCTGGGTCATTTGTAAAGAAACAGGTAGTTCGCAGCAGGAAACAAGTAACAATAATGTCATGGTCATATTTTACTTTTATTTTTCAGATTCTATGGCCGAATTGTCCGATTCATCTATTATAGCACTTAGCTCTGTACTGGGAATTTTCGGTTTACTTATAACTTGTGGAGTAGCGGGATATTGTCGCAGGTATGTAGTGTGTGGAACGTCTGTTCAGAAGAATTTATTTAATTGCTACATTGAAAATTGAAAAAGTCTGAACACCTTTCTTGTCACACGTGTTTATTTTCATTGTATTGAAAGTAGGTTATATTTGACTCTATTGTATTTAGAATCAATAATTCTTAATATTATCAAATTCTTCTTATTTCTTTAATATTTAAATGATTTTTTTTTAGCTGAAATTAATTAACACAGGTACAATTTTAGCATCAAGCTTTTAACGCAAGTGTGTTTGCAGTGTTGCATTGCTGGATTTGATTCAGATAGAGCTAAAAATCATAAGAACATTACGCTTAATTCGGAAAACATTGTGCAGACATTTTGTATGTATAATTAGTTGCATAATGCTCTGATATTTCAGTTAAAATGGGAAACAATTCAAGCAGAAACGGAGAAACTACAAATCGGTAGATTAACTATAATGAACATTTACATGTAGCAATCCTTATATAACCAATGCATGTTTGTAAATATATATCTTTTTGTATATTTGTACTAACAGCCACCACTCTATTGCTTTACCCTGCCAAATGCAATGTTAGACATAAAGCTTTTCTTGCAGTATTTGCCATTATTGGTATAAATGTAATCTTCGTTGTATTTATGCATTTGTCTTCTTAACATCTACCCTATAGTTACATATAACTAATATATTTGATTATGTATCCTACAACTTTTACAGTGCTGTATTGGTTATTGTTTCTAGCACATCATATATCTTTGCATTGTTATACGACCGCAAAAAAATTTTGAGGTCGTATATTGGTATGACGTTGGCGTCGTCGTCGTCGTCGTCGTCGTCGTCCGGCGTCGTCGTCCGAATACACAATGGTTTTCGCACTCTAACTTTAGTTTAAGTGAATGGATCTCTATGAAATTTTACCATAAGGTTCAATACCACAATAGGAAGGTGGGGATTGATTTTGGGGGTTATGGTACCAACAGTTAAGGAATTAGGGGCCAAAAAGGGGCCGAAAATAAGCATTTTTGTAACTTCCAGACATAACTTGTGTGTTAGCATATGGATCTCTTTGACATTGTACCACAAGATTCCATATCACAAAGGGTCAATGCTGGGATTGATTTTGGGGTTAATTGCCTCAAAATTTTAGGAATAAGGGGCCAAAAGGGGGCAAAAAACAGCATTTTTCTAGTTTCATGACAATAACTTGTGTGTAAGTGTATGGATCTTTCTGAAATTTTACTACAAGGTTCCATTTCACAAAGGAAAAGCTGGAATTGAGTGTTGTGGTAATTGCCCAAAACGTTTAGTAATAAGGGGCCTAAAAAGGGGTTTAAAATAAGCATTTTTTAGTTTCTAGACAATAACTTGTGTTCAAGTGTATGGATCTCTCTAAAATTGTATTACAAGGTACCATACCACAAAGGCAAGGCTGTTATTGAGCTTGGTTTGGGGGGAAAGGGGGGTGGGGGTGATGAATCATAAGGGGGGCGGGGGTCAAAAAAGGGGTAATTTTTTTTTTTCCTTTTTTTTTTGTTTAAAATTTACATTTTAAGTTAGTTATTTTTTATCACGAAGAGAAAGTAGGAATTGAGTTTTGGGGTTAATTGCTCAAACATTTATGAATAAGGGGCCAAATATTGGTCGAAAATAAGGATTTTTTTAGTGTGCTCTAATGTTTAAGGAATAAGGGGAAAAAAGGTTAAAAAACAAGGGTTTCCATTTTAATAGACAAATAATTGAGTAAAGAACATTATTTAAAAGCAGTGTAAGGTTGGTAATTCAAACTCATTTAAATATCTCATCTACACTGCTTTTAAATTATGTAAATTGGAAATTTGCCAATAACTTTATTGTTAATAAATGCATTGGAAATTTGCCAACAATTTTAGTGTAATAAACTTCATTGGAAATTTGCCAATATAAAATTTTGCAGATGAAGGTTTTTTGTTTACCTTTAGCCTTGACTATGAAGTCATTTTCTATTTTTATAGCCTTATGATGTAGTTGAATTATTTAATACTTTTATGATGTGTTTAAATGGGGTTTTATCATGTTTATGGTTGCAAATTTATTGTTTTAGTATAATAAACTCCATTTAAAATTTGCCAATAAAAAAAATTTTTGTTTATTTTTAGCTATGATTATGATGTCATTTTCTATTTTACTTTTATGGTTGCAAAGAAATTTTTATTTTTAGATATTACTGTTAAATGATGCTGATTAAGGTTTTTGCTATGTTTAGCCATGACTATGATGTCATTTTCTATTTTAATATCTGTTATGATGTATTTAAATGGGCTTTTATGGTTACAAAGGAATTTTATTTTTAGATATTACTATGAAATGTTGCTGATGCTGATTAAGGATTTTGTTTATTTTTAGCCATGACTATGATGTCATTTTCTATTTTAATACCTTTATGATGTAATTTCCATTTTTAGATATTACTGTTAAATGATGCTGATTAAGGGTTTTTTGCTATGTTTAGCCATGACTATGATGTCATTTTCTATTTTAATATCTTTATGATGTATTTAAATGGGCTTTTATGGTTACAAAGGAATTTTATTTTTAGATATTACTTTAAATGTTGCTGATTAAGGATTTTTGTTTATTTTTAGCCATGACTATGATGTCACTTTCTATTTTAATACCTTTATGATGTATTTAAATGGGCTCCCATGTATTTAGATTTTTGATTATTTATACATGTTACCAAATTGGTCCACATTGAACAAAAACGGTCCAAATTTCAACTTTATTACATTACATCAAACATTGAATTCTACATATTCTTTGATATATTGAAATTAACAAACAATTTAGTTTATGGAGATTCCACCATAATAGGTAAATTAAATTTTTTCCAGTTCTTACACCACATTCATCCTGTGTCAGAAACCTATGCTGTGTCAAATATTTAATGACAATCCAAAGTCATAGCTGTATCAAGCTTGAATTTTGTGTCCATACTTGCCCCAACTGTTCAGGGTTCGACCTCTGCGGTCGTATCAAGCTGCGCCCCAGCGAAGCATTTTATTAAACATTGGCTTGATTCTGCATGTAAAATATACGTCTTGCTTTAAACTTTCCTTATATAGTTCTTTTTTGTGTCATAATTTTAGTTCACGCTTATTTTTCCCCAAAAAATATTAACATTTATAGTGATATCATATGATTTTTTTTTTCGGTTTTATTGTAAAAAAAAATAGTTTTCAGTGCGAACGAACCTGGTGAAGCTACTTACTGAACATATATCTTCCTGTATATTTGTACTAACAGACACCACTCTATTGATTTACCCTTGCCAAATGCAATGTTAGACATAAAGCTTTTCTTAGAAAATATTATTCCAGTATTTGCTATTATTAGTATAAATGTTATCTTCGTTGTATTATGCATTTGTCTTCTTAACGACTACTTTAAAGTTACATGTAAACATACACTACAAATAATATATTTGATTATGTATCCTATACAACTTTATTTTTCTAATCTGCATAGTGATATCATATGACATTTTTTTTTCGGTTTGTAAAAAAAAATAAACATTTCAGTGCGAACCAACCTGGTTAAGCTACTTACTGAACATATATCTTCTTGTATATTTGTTCACTAATATAAACACGTTTTGACTTAACGTATTGTAACATATTAAGTTCTATAATAAGGCATCTGTTCTTTTTGCGATTTAAACATAATAAAAAGTGAAGTTTAAAAAACTAAATCCTGTTCAATATAATAATAGACATTTAATAATAAAAAAATACCCCAAAAAAACAAACTTTATATTTGTTCCTTTGACAGGAAGTATGTATACACTAAAAGAACATACGTGAACGGGACGAAACCACCAAGGGCAGTACCATCAGCCTACATTGATCCAGAGAAACAATACGTCACAAACGGCTACCCAAGTAGTCCAGACACAGTTAATCTAAATATACCTCAACCTGAAATAGGAATAGAAAGTTCGACACAGCCAGAACAACCAAAAGAAAACGAAACAAAACAAGAACCTGTACCAGCACCGACTGTACCAAAACCAAACAGCTATGTTAAAAAGGCAAAACATAAGAAAGGCTTTGCTGATCATGTAGTTCAAAGGGAATCAAGTTACAAGTTATATGATCCTGAATTACTTGTTCAGCGTAATAACAGTTTTAAAATATTAGATGAAAGCCGACACTCTGGAAGAGCAAGAAGTTACATTCAATACGAAGGAGCAAGGCCTGAATATGTCGTTCGGCAAAGGGGGTATAAAATGCATGAACCAAGATATCAAGCCAGGCGAGTGGCCCATACATATGGTACATGGAGACATCAACCAGAAATAGTCAATGCTCGACCTATTATGGAATTGAACAGTGGCAGACCAATATCAGAAACGTTAACCACACGAGCAAGACCAGTAAGAATTGTTCAGTCGGTGCCGCCAATGCCAATTCGAACGGTAAGACCTCAGACAGTTGGACGGCCTGTTATCGTACGTCGAACAGTCGAAACAGAGAGGCCTTACAATACACCAGTTCATGGGTATATTCCTCGACATCGTCTCGGACAATATCGACCAAAAGTTATAGACGGTTACGTAGCACCAAGTAGGATAGGAGAAAATGTGTATCCTTTATCAGAACCAGGAGGTTATAGGGACGTACTGATAGAACCCGTGTACCAAACTAGTACGTATAACTATTTGTATCTCATTTGTCCATAGAACAGATTGTCTTAATTTTAATGCAAAAAAAATAATGGTAACAAAATAAATGATCGAACGAAAAACACACATATACACACATACACAGGCCCACTATTGTTGAGTTTGTAATTTTGAGCTCACCTAGAGAACTCAAAAACTTCATGAATCTAAATAAGTTACTTATAAATGAACCCCAGAGTCGAGTAAATATTGAAAGGAAAAGAAGCTTGTCCTGTCAAAAAATTGTCAACCTTGGAAATGAGCGACTGGTAGATTAATCTCGTTTTAGAATTATAGGGATTCAGTAAAACTGGAAGTGTTTGGGTCGTCGGGCTGCTGTCTCATTGACGTTTACCAAACACCTCCCTTTATTCATAGATCACTACAACTCTTCATTTTAAAACACGTAACATATTTATTTTCAGTTAAAAAGATTCCTCCACCTCCATACCCAGGAAAAGCGTAAGTATTTTTAACATCAAATAATACTAATACATTTAATTTACGTGCCAACTATCACTTTAAAAATAAGGAGATGTGGTATGATTGCCAATGGGACAGCTATCCCCCAAAATTCAAATGAAGCGGATGTAAGTAATTATAGGCAACCGTACGACCTTTAACAATGAGAAAAACCCATACCGTATAGTAGGCTATAAAAGTCCCCTACATGAAAAATATGAAATAATTCAATTGAGAAAACTAACGGCCTAATTTATGACAAAACAATTAAAGGAAAACAAATATGACAGATATGAACCAATGACAACCACTGAACTGGGACACTTTTTCTATTAGTCGTAAATCGTCAAAGAAACAGCATTGCACCTTTGTTCTTGTAAACGTTTACATTTCCTATGAGCATAAATAAAGGCAACAGTAGTATACCGCTGTTCATAGCTACTTTACACATATTTGACCTGCACTGATTTTCGAGATATCTGAAGCTGATGTTAAACTTTGATATACATTTTTATAAAAGTCTGACAATTCACACGCTAGCAGGAAATGCATTAGATTATCCTCTTCTGCTTTCATTCAATGTTCACATATTCCAGAATTTCATTGCTACTGAATTTTGTTCTTTGATTGTAGCATGTAAATTCCAGTTACTAGTATTGGCATACTTTAGACCTGCATTTTTGTATGAGAAGACAAACATTAACAGAAAAATCAAAAACAGAAATTTTGTGAACATCTGTCACAGTCATATTTGGAAAAAACATAGTCCCCGACCAGGGATGTGTTCAAATAAAAATATATAAGCAAACTATGTCGTTAAGTTAGATTACTTAAGGAAAATATCACAATAAAAAAACGTGATGTCAGAGATTGGAGTAACCATCCCGTAGTTTTTTTAAAAAAAAATATATGTTTACGTCTAGTGAAATATTAACTGAATTCTTCACTGAAGTCAATTTAAAAATATTTAAGATGAATATCTTCTTCTGTTTCACAGGTATGAAAGGGAAAAGGTTCCAGTTGAAAAGGTATTGTATTAATTTTAAATACGGATTTCAAGATCTAGCATTTGAATGCTATTTCTATATTTAAAATGAAATCTTCATTTATTGAAATTCAGATACTTGATCATCAGAACCTTTATATTTAAGATAAGACGTTATTTATTAAAATCCAATGTACTTTATCATCAGGTTGAAATTTTTAATATTTAAAATGTTTAGGTACACAACCAACAATAGTGTTTACAATTTTAGTGAAAAAATGTAGGCGGGAAATATTTCATTTTTTTTCAGTTTCACAAAACTGACGGGTTTAAAAGTACAATTATTCTTTTTAAAGAAAACAGGTACTTTCCGGCAACAAGACTACATTGAAAGAAGGTACATCAGCACGTATAGCTTTATATTTTAAAATGGGTTATATTCATAGCTTTTAATAATATTGAATGGGTCCAGTAGTAGCTTTTAAATCTTTATTATTCCCATTTCGAAAAGAAAATAGGCGTTATTCAAAATGGGAATAATATGTACAAAAAAGGTAGTTTTTTACTTTTTTAAAGATACAAATTTCGTCTCGTACAACTGACTATCTCGTTTTGACTTTTTTAAATGTTGTTTTTTATTTGGATATTCAAATCACTATTATTCAGTTGAATAGGCTTGTCTTGGGTGACTTTACTTTGAGATTTACCCCAATTCCAACCAATAATTTATTTTTAAATACCGACATTTTTGATAATGTTAGCTCTTGGCAAAATTATTAGAATGACGATTTTAAAGAAAATAGGTAAACACATATATATATATGGCTTCAGTTGAAACATGTCAAACTAATTTGATACATGTGTTTTCAGATTGAAATAGAGAAAATTACAAAAAGACAGTCCGGAAGTGCAAAGAACTTTATTTTAAAACCGCAAGTTCCTCAAACTGATGATGAAAAATTAAAAGACATACCAACGACACAATATTTCGATGACGGAAAGACTATCATGATTATCGATTATTTGATGGACCCTTTCACTACCAAAGTTAACAAATTACCACAGTCAACACCACGTGATATAAATCATAATGGTGATATGTTGAATGGACATAACTCTGGTGGGGATCTGAATGGACATAAATCTGATGGGGATCTGAATGGACATAACTCTGATGGGTATCTGAATGGACATAACTCTGATGGGGAACTGAATGGACATAACTCTGATGGGGAAAGTGAAGATCTCAATGATTCACATAATAGACAGAGATCTGCCGATTTTGGAGATGTTCTTTTCCTTCCGTGATCGATAATCAAGAGTAAAAGTCTCATGAATATTACCATATAAGATGTTTACATAAGCTTTAATAATTCTCATAGCAGTATGATATCATCAAAGTAAAAATACATTAGTTCGCACCAAGATGTGTGTTTATAATACCAATATTCTTATAGCAGATGTAAAAATGTATTGATAAAGTAACAAATGTAACACAAAAGATATTCTCGTTCGCCTCTCTTGAGGTTCCACTGGTTAGGCGAGAATTAAAAAAGGACACGAGCTCAATGAACAAGTTTTTTTCTTATATTTCGTCTACAAAAACATGTTTACAAAATTCGTTATTTTCTCAAAAGAACCTAAACATATTACACAGTATCTTAACTACTGCTTTGTGTAAACCAATCTATTATTTACGACTACACAAAAGTTCAAGCTTAATTTCTAAATTTGTACTTGTTTTAGATAATTTTGACTAAGTTTATGAATTTAAAACAAAGGGCTGTAAAAAGATTTAACGCTTCTGGTCGTCGCAACTTTATAAATCTTTTTTGGTCATGTTTAGTTGGTCATGTATAACAGGGTAACTTTTGATTGAATTCTTTCGGTGAAAGAATTTTATCTAATGTAAAATATCATCACGCCAGTCAATCAATCTAACATTAAATGGAAGAACCCAGGCGTCAAAGTGAAAGCCTGGGTCTCTTTCTTTATCATTTTTGCCTCTTGTATTGTATTTTCGTCAATATATATATGGATCATATTCTATTATTTTAACTAACACTATATATTCAAAGTGTCTGATTATAATAAATGATAAAAGATTATATAATATGTACTGTAATAAAGATCACATCAACTGTACGATTTCATAATTTTGCTATAAAATGCATTAATTATTTCCATACATTTAATCAAAGGATTGAAATTCTTTTCACAAAATCTTTTGACTGAAATTGTAGTTTTGCAATACATTATTGATAACTTGCTTACAATTCAGTATGTCTTGCGACCATAGATGTATAATGGGTTTATACATCTATGCTTGCGACTCAGTCAGTTACAGGGGCATAACGGTTTACTCATGTTCGTTATCATTACCAGCGACTCAGTCAGTGACTGGGGCAGAAAGTGTAACCAATGTTCGTTCTTATGCCTCGCAACTCAGTCAGTGACTGGGGAAGAAAGTTACCAATGTTCGTTATTATGACAAGGGAATGAAGTGTTTCCGATGTTCGTTATTATGCCCAGCGACTCAGTGACAGGGACAGAAAGTGCTATCAATGTTCGTTATTGTGTCCTGCGACTCAGTCAGTGACAGGGGCATAACGTTTTACCAATGTTCGTTATTATGCTCCGCGCTTTAGTCAGTGAAAGGGCCATGAACAGAAGTGTTACCCATGTTCGTATTATGTCCAGAGACTCAGTGCCTGGGACAGAGAGTGATACCAATGTTCGTAAGTATGTCCCGCGCTTCAGTCAGTGACAGGGGCATGAAGGTTATGATGTCCCGCAACTCAGTCAGTAACAAGGCATACAGCGTTACCCATGTTCGTTATGCAGTCCTTTCGTCCTTTCGAACTACAAGTCGTTCATACTCCTTTCTGTCTACATAATGAAAGATTTTTTTCATAAATTATAATGGCTGTGTACAGATCGAGTCTGGTGATCTACTTTTCAAAAGAGTCCTATCGTTGACTATTTCGCAAGGCAGTCGCAAACCTAGTCGTCTCGAAATAAATATGATTTCTACTTATGGTCCATGTTTTTTATAAATCTAAGAACCACTCCGCTCTTTAATTAACATTTTTAAAATGCAGAACCAAGGTAATCGTTATCGCTTGTCGGTCATGAATAAAATATGGAGTGATAGATTAAATTTAAATCAGCCAGTTATATTCTGTGAAAAAAATTATTATTAAATTACCTTTATATAATTTGTTTCAACGGTTTTATCTGTGGATACAAAAAGCAGCTGCAGTATGTCATTTTGCAGCCTTCGACGAAAGTCGCAAAATGCGAGCCATAAGATGCTAATCCTGTTACAAAATTCCGTCGTTTATATGTCCATTGTCCTTTGACCTCATTTCTTGGTTCAGCGACTACTTAAAAGACTGGTTTTTGTCGAGCCTGCGACTTCTGTCGCAGAAAGCGAGACATAGTGATAGTGATCCGGCGGCGGCGTTAACTAACTTTTTAAAAGCTCAACATTTCAAAAGGAAGAAGACCTGGATGCTTCATACTTTTGTATATAGATGCCTTATGTGATGAAGTTTCCGTCTGTCATATATCCATTGTCCTTGACCTCATTTTCATGGTTCAGTGACTATTTGGAAAAAAGTTGATTTTTTGTAATCTTAATTTCTCTCTTATGAGTAATAGGATAATATAAATAAGAAGATGTGGTATGAGTGCCAATGAGACAACTCTCCATCCAAGTCACACTGTAGATGACTGTATAAAAAGTTAACAATTATAGATCAAAGTACGGCCTTCAACACGGAGCCTATAAAGGGCCCCAAAATGACTAGTGTAAAACAATTCAAACAAGAAAACCACCGGTATAATCTATATAAAAAACGAGAAACGAGAAACACCTATGAACCACACCAACAAACGACAACCACTGAACAACAGGCTCCTGACTTTAGGACAGGTGCATAAAAATGCAGCGGGTTTAAACGTTTTAACAGGCGCCCACCTTCACCCTAACCTGAGACAGTAGTGTAGCATTACAACATAAACAGACACACTATAAAATATCAATTGAAATGGCTTAACTCGATCAAAAAGACACTTAAACAAAAACAAGTAAACATACACTAAACGAATAAGCTTGATCTATGAGACAATTAATACAATATTAAAAAGTAGGTGCCTATATAACATAGACATTACAGGTAGTAATTACACAGATTTAGGAAGAGTGTCAATAAGACGACTCTTACCTGGGACAAAATGGCGTTAAATAAAACAACGTACACAGGTAAATTTAAATATAATAATTTTGCGCAGAGATCATAACCGATCCGTTCAATACTACCTAACACTACACTCAATATGACCTCTACATATTAAGTGTTTTATTGCGGAGCATGTGTGGAACGGATATGAACTCTGCGACGGAGATTGATAATTTTGTTGTTAGGAGTACCGAAGTAAACATTTTTTACCAAATTTATAAATTTGTTGTTCAGAGTACGAGTACAGAAGTGAAAATTTATAGTCATACAAAATACTTATCAAAGGTGGTATATATCAAAAATAGTGAGACGAGATATAACACAAAATAAGTAAAGATTGAATTACAGAAATGCATTACAAATTGTGTCAACAGGTCAAATTAAGACGAAAGTACGATTTGAGAGTACTCGCAGTTACTGAAAGCTAGTTAAAAGCCAAAAACAATTAACTTCAGAGACTAAAATCAATTAAAACACATCCCAGGGATTTAGTGTTTTAACGCCATGGACAGCCAAAGAAGACATGACTTGTGCAATGCCAAAATAAAAGTATCGACAGGCAGTAGAACCGTTAGGATTTAATCTTATAATAAATATGTATCATGTTATATATAGATAAAGCAATCTCTAAATAGAAAATTAACGAAGATGTGTATTCATACATTCCAAAAACCATTCGAAAAGAATACAAATTTAGTTATGTATTAATTTGTTGATGACAAAATCGATGTTAGTGCCAATGTAAACAATATTCAAAGATCTTATTACAACATTAATAAGATAAACTTTACTAATAAGTTTGTTTAAAGTTTCGATGAGTAACTATATTTGGTATGTGCATACCTTGCAAAGTCCTCATGCATGTCAAACAGTTTTCACTCGACCTCGACCTCATTTCATGGATCTGTGAACAAGATTAAGTGTTCGTGGTCAAGTTCATATCTCAGATACTATGAACAATAGGTCTATTTGGTGTATGGAATGATTGTAAGGTGTACATGTCCAACTGGCAGGTGTCGTCTGACCTTGACCTCATTTTCATGGTTCAGTGGTTAAAGTTAAGATTTTGTGTTTTGGTCTGTTTTTCTAATACTGTATGCAATAGATCAACTTTATTTGGTATGGAAATATTTTACGATGTACATGTCAGTCTGGCAGGTTTTTTTTGACCTTGATCTAATTTTTACGGTTCATTGCTCAATGTTCAGTTTTTGTCGAGCCTGCGACTTTTGTCGCAGAAAGCTCGACATAGGGATAGCGATCCGGCGGCGGCGGCGGCGGCGGCGGCGGCGGCGGCGTTAGCTAACTTCTTAAAGCTTTATATTTTAGAAGATGGAAGACCTGGATGCTTCATACTTTGTATATGGATGCCTCATGTTACGAAGTTTCCGTCAGTCACATGTCCAATGTCCTTGACCTCATTTTCATGGTTCAGTGACTACTTGAAAAAAAAGTTCAGATTTTTTGTAATGTTAAATTCTCTCTTATTATAAGTAATAGGATAACTATATTTGGTATGTGCGTACCTTGCAAGGTCCTCATGCTCGTCAGACAGTTTTCACTTGACCTCAACCTCATTTCATGGATCAGTGAACAAGGTTAAGTTTTCGTGGTCAAGTCCATATCTCAGATACTATAAGCAATAGGTCTAGTATATTCGGTGTATGGAAGGACTGTAAGGTGTACATGTCCAACTGGCAGGTGTCATCTGACCTTGACCTCATTTTCATGGTTCAGTGGTTATAGTTAAGTTTTTGTGTTTTGGTCTGTTTTTCTTATACTGTATGCAATAGGTCTACTATATTTGGTGTATGGAATGATTGTAAGGTGTACATGTCTAGATGGCAGGTGTCATCTGACCTTGACCTCATTTTCATGGTTCAGTGGTCAAAGTTAAGTTTTTGAGTTTTGGTCTTTTTTTCTAATACTGCATGCAAAAGGTCAGCTATATTTGGTGTATGGAATGATTGTAAGGTGTACATGTCTAGCTGGCAGGTGTCATCTTACCTTGACCTCATTTTCATGGTTCAGTGGTCAAAGTTAAGTTTTTGAGTTTTGGTCTTTTTTTCTAATACTATATGCAATAGTTCAACTATATTTGGTGTATGGAAATATTTTATGATCTATATGTCAGTCACGCAGGTTTTATTTGACCTTGACCTCATTTTCAAGGTTCATTGCTCAGTGTTAAGTTTTTGTGTTTTCGTCTGTTTTTCTTAAACTATAAGCAATAGGTCAACTATATTTGTTGTATGGAAGAATTGTTAGCTGTACATGCCTGCCTAGCACGGTTCATCTGACCTTGACCTCATTTTCATGGTTCATTGGTCAATGTTTAGTTTACTTGGTTAATGTTAAGTTTATGTGACAGTTGTAATAAAGCTTTATATTTAGGACTATCAACATAATATCAATGATTAGTAAAGAAGGCGAGACATTTCAGCGTGTGCACTCTTGTTGTGTTTTGGCCTGTTTTTCTTAAACTTTAAGCAATAAGTCAACTATATTTGGTGTATGGAATGATTGTAAGGTGTATATGTCTGTCTGGCAGTTATCATCTGACCTTGACCTCATTTTCATTGGTCAATATTAAGTTTTCCTGGTTAAGTTTGTTTCTTAGATACTATATGCAATAGGTCAACTATATTTAAAGCATGGAGTGATTGAAAGGTGTACACGTCTGTCTGGCAGGGTTCATCTTCATGGTTCATTTATCAATATAAAGTTTTCATGGTTTGGTCTGTTTCTTGTATACTATATATAAGCAATAGGTCTACTATATTTGGGGTATGGAAAGATTGTAAGGTGTACATATATTTCTGGCTTGGTTTATTTAACCTTGACCTCATTTTTTTTATCATGTTAAGTTAATGTGATACTTGTAGTTAAACTTTATA